GAAATATAGGGACGCAAATGTAACCTTGTGTTTAAAGATATTGTGGGGCTCGAGGAGCAGAAGCCAAAGGAGACACTGAACAAAGGAGGTTTTCAAAGACGATTATCAAAACACGGGTATAATGTGTGCACATCTGTAGAAGTGGTTTTGCATGTGTACGTGGGTATCTGTGAACAGTAACTTATGCTGATAAGTAACCGCCAATAAATCAATCAATAGTTAGTTAAGTGAAAAGATGGTTTAAAGATATTTTATTCTAGACTATATTCTGTAAACAAATACAGTTTATTAACACAAGTATTTACAAGGTAATTTTACAATACATACTAGACTATATTCTGTAAACTACACAGAGGTTCTACAACGAGTGGCAGTTTATTATCATCGTTATCTAACTCAAGTTAGTTAATTTTTTTAAGTTTAGAAAAGACATGAGGCTTTGCCAACAGTCTTTTCAAAATTTGAAAATTAACTAATGAGAGTTTGATAACGATGATAACCAATTGCCACAGAGACGTATATACGTCTCTGATTGCCACGAGTTGTAAAACTTCTTTCTACCATAACCTTTTAACGTAAAAATATAGATATTGTGTACAACATTGTTTCGCCCCCATTGACACTACCGCGTAAGAATACATCGTAGGTTGTCTGATTGGCTTATTAATATGCAAAAAGAGACAAAATCGCTATTTTAGAAGCAAAGTACTTATTTATTCAGTAATCTTGTTTGGAAACACCCCGTAACATTAGTTCATTGATACACGTTACAAAATTACACAAACTGTTAATCTTTAATAAAAAAAAAAAATGGAACTATATTTTATTGCGGATAAGAGTAGTGCTTCTTCGCGGGAAAATGTAAATGCAGACACGATTAAGATGGCGTGTAATTTTGGGGCTGAATTTCTAATGCTTTTTGCAGTGTTTCTATGGGGTCTCGATATTGACATCATTGGGGCTCAGCTGTACATTTAAGTTTAAGATCATGATATTGATTGCGGGGTTCAGCGGTAGGCCTAGTTGAGACAGTGACTGCCGATATTGTTGGGAAACCAAAATTACTGTAAATGTGGCCGCATCACCGATCTTGAGTGGTTCAGCGGATGGCCATAGGCCTATTGGTTTGAGACAGTGACGTATTATGCTATTTAGTAGATAACATACAAAGTACTTTATTTATTGTAATTTTACAATACCTAGACTGGGATGATTTATTAAACAACACGTCTTGATACAATGACATTACAAAATTACACAAACTGTTAATCTTTAATACCAAAACTTAAAATGGAACTATATTTTATTGCAAAGAGTAGAAATGCTTCTTCAAAGATGTAATATGCAACATTAGAGAAAGTGTATTTTGGGGCTGAATTTCTAATGCTTTTTGCAGTGTTTCTATGGGGTCTCGATATTGACATCATTGGGGCTCAGCTGTACATTTAAGTTTAAGATCATTTGGTACTGCGATATTGTCGGAAATGTGGCGGGGTTCAGCGGTAGGCCTAGTTGAGACAGTGACGATAGAGTCAGGGGAAATGTCAAACCTGTATCTTGATTCCGAAACGACCTTGCCAATCTCCAACCTAATATCAAAGGTTGGGAAACCAAAATTACTGTATTTACCATTTACCGCATCACCGATCTTGAGTGACAGATCGTCACTGTCAGCCATGTTGAAGATGGCCATCAGACGATGAAAACAATCGCACATGGCGAAAGTAGTTCGGGGTCACAGATCATGGTTGGGTCAGATGTCAATGCCTTGTCCAATAGATTTGGCTGTCACCAATAATAAACGTGTGTATTATGCGTATGAATATAGTCTGGGCGTGAGATAACGTACGCATGTTATGGTAGAAATACAGTTTATCAATACAAGTATTTACAAGGTAATTTTACAATACGTAATTATAGACTGGGATGATTTATTAAACAACACGTCGGGGATCCACAGGCTCGTTATATATAAATTTAGTCAAAAATACCATCATGGAGGTTATAGCACAATAAAGAATAGATGGAAATAACGATTTAGAAAATGCAGAATTTAGCATCAGTGATAGATTTCTTTGGGGAAACTTTAAAACTAATAAAACAGGTAATACAATTAGTTATTTATCATTTAAGAAAAAGGATTTAGAAAAGTAAATAGATTGTACAATAGACAACAGTAAGAAATTAATGCATAATTACTCCGGTGTATTTTGGAATAGAGGGGAAAGGTACTAAGGGATAAGAAAATTAAAGGGATAGTTATGAGGGCAAAGGTACGGTGGAAGGTGAAAAAAGAAAGTATTTGTGTAATCTTGAAAAACGACAATACAATGAAAAAATGAGTCGGAACCTAATAAAGGACAATTGGAATAAAATAAACTATTTAAATGAAATACTTAATGAACAATTCACATTTTATTCAAATCAATACGAAAGGAACAATTGTTAATGATGTTCACCAGGATTTGTTTTTAATTATAGTAATCCATTTAGAACTAAATTCACTGATGAGCATAGTGATTCTGTGAATGGTTCAATCAAGGTTGAAGAATGCTTAAAAACAATTAAAAGTATGAACAATGAAAACTCTCCAGGACTAGTCGGATTCACGGTAGAGATTTATCGATTTTCTTCATCAGATTTAAAGTTTTCCTATCAAAATCTGTTAACCAATCAGTTAGAGATCAGAAAATGTCAATTCGTTAGCGAAAAGGTTTAATTAAATGCATTCCGAAACCGGGAAAATCAAAATTATATTTAAAAAATTGGAGAACCATTACTTAATGAATGTCGACTTTAAAATTGCATCATCTTGTATTACCAATAGAATGAAACCAACTCTTATTGATATCATAAGTCCGAGTCAGGCGGGTTTTATTAAAGGTCGTTACATAGGGCAATGTTCCAGTCTTGTGTTATATGTTAATGCTGCGATCAACTGGGCGCGGTTAGTTGGGGATTGGGTGGGTTTGCGTTTCCTAATACGCCTGTCCAGCTCATCCCACAGATGCTCAATGGAAGACACATCAGGGCTATACGGGGCCATTCCAGAGGCTGAATGTTGTTTGCCGAGAGAAAATCAAGACAGACTCTGGCAACATCAACATGCAGTCGAGCATTGTCTTGCTGGAAAATTAGGTTATGACGTCTGAGAAGTGGAAGGACATGTGGTTGGAGGATCTAATCTCTGTTTCGAACAGCATTGAGGTTTGGATCCAGGACCACTAAGGGGGATTTTACTCCATGGGAAATGCCTCCCCAACCATTACAGAAGCCCCACCAAATCTGTCGCTTTCAACAACACATGTGTCGTGGTAACGCTCACCGCGTCTGTGATATACCCTTTTTCTTCCGTCTGAGCGATACAGACAGAATCTAGACTCGTCGGTGAACATCACACGCCTCCACCGACGCATCCCAAACCTATTCGGGCCATGTCTATGCTTCCAGCCGCCTCCGTGGTATCAGCGGTGCTCCGACATAAGGTCGACGCGCAATGATTCTCTCGACACTTAAGCGGTTCCTGGCAGTTTGACACTAACGGGTCTGTCATGAGTACCTAAGGTATGCGACGCAGTCTATACAGCAGTCTTGAATTTGTTGCGATAGTGCGCCTTGTCTTGTCGTGCGGACGTTACACGCGGACGACCGCTCCTGGGACGATCGGAAAGTAACCCAGTAACATAGTAACGTGTACAGAGACGGTTAATTGTACATAGGACAATGCCAAACTGCAGCTCGACAGCATCTATCAACATCGCAATTTCTCTACCCTCTGAATTTGCGTTAAGCGCGGCATCTCGGTCAATGACGAAATCACAATGCCAACTTGGAAAATTAAAGTGACTTAACTTAGAGTACCCGTTGAAATTATTCGTTTGACAAAAATCAGGCTTGATCACGCCGCGTGATTTGGACTGAGGAAGCTCGCAATGTCAGACAGTGACAGAATGTCGAGAAGGAGAGATAGTGTCCTGCGTGAAGAAATTTTGTGCGTTTCTTTTTCTGTTGAGTATATTATTAGTACAATACCGAGAGGCTGGCAGAGAATGATAACTTATTATAGAGAAAATATTGAACATGTTTTGCACAATAATTTGAGGCAAATGAAAAAACATTGAAAACCCGTCTAAGTATTTCTATCACAAACTATTATCACTGTATTGACCTATCCTCAACAATCTCGTGAAAGATGGCACACTGCTTTGGGTATTTTTCTAGGCCAAGACGACTGGAAAGAAATTCATACTCTTCCATGTCATGAGACAAACGACTCAAAAATATAAAGTTTACCAAACAGAATTACTCACAGATTGCAAATGACAATATTATATAAAAGATAAATGTTATAATATCAGGAATGTAGCTTTTGTAGCAGGTCACCTGAAACAATATATCACCCTTTTTTGGGATTGTACACATAGTATGTCACTCTGGACAAGCTATATAAATTCAGTCTTTCTCAAATATAATGTTTTGGGGGGAAATTCCTGCCACTTTCCCATTTGGCATAGTCGAAAATGTTTAAGTAATAGGCTTAAACATATGCATATTGCTTATTAAGAAATACATTTCGCTGATGCAACAAAGAAATAAAATTCCGAATTGGGAAACTTGCAAGAAATTCATTAAAAATTCAGAAACCTTTAATCTATATTTGATATATATGTTGGTCCAAAATTCAGCAAAGAAGATCCGGCAATAATTGGCAAGTGTCCAACTTATTTTAGAATGACTCTGTATCCGATTCTGATATTCTTTATGAAGTGTGTGTTTCGGGGGGGGTGGAGGAAGCGTAAATTTTACGGTAACCAAAAATCAACCTGATGGTATGTCACATCGCACCAAATTGTATATAGCGGACCGAAACCGATGTCTAGACGCTACATGGTACGTACAGCCCTGTCCCAGTGCTCGCCTACTGGTGTGGTATGCGCACCGCATACCCTTCCGCGAGTCGTGATACATGTAAGATAATCACAGACTTCTCACAACAGTACGTGTGTGTACACCGATCGAGCAGCACCCATCAACATGCCGTCCAGGTTAGGCTACTGGAAGATTCGAGGGGTAAGTATTCATTTATAACCAATCTCACATGCATGTCTAACGATATATCGTCATATACGAGTGCTGTAACACTGCTGAAAATTCTCACAAATCAGAAACCGACATTGTGATAAATACACAGGTATGCCGTAACGATGAGATCACGTGTGGAAAGCGAGTAGACTTGTATAACGGTAGGAGATGCACATGTACTCAGTTAGCACGTGCGGCAATGAGTGATGGACTGACCACAGTACATATAATTACATTTGTGAATAGATCTGTGCAAACTATTCTCTAATGCTAACATTAGTCCATCCAATATCAGCACCGTTCATCTCGTCATGCGATTTTATCTACAGTATCAGTGTCACCATAATGGATTCCTTATCTACCTCAAAACTGGTCGGCCAATTCTCGCCAAGTGTTGAACAAATGATATATTTTATTGGTATTTTTCAACAGAGCAGAAAATACTGGCAATGCATAGACGAGAATAAGTCAACCATGTCTCAGACTGACGATGTACGTTTATTGTATAGCGGGTTCCAATGATATACAAAAATATAATTTTAGACGTAATGGATTGGATAACGGAGTGCTTAATTGCATGACTTGGCATTAAATACAGTATAAAGAAGTTGACATTAAATGATGGGATTAGACGTGTAACAGGAAACAGTGGATGTATCAACATCTATTGTGATGTCTTATAGGGCAGGTACAGTCCTATAAATAGTCATCTTATTATTACTTAGAGTAGACAGGTAAAAAATAATAGCTTTTTACTTATCAGTAATGTTGTCCGACAGGTATTTCATCAGAGGTCATATAAAACTGGTTTCAGCTAGCAATGGTACAAGATAGTTTACACAAAGCAGTGGTCTTTATAACAATTATATGGAGCAGTGGTATTATAAGACAAGTAACACATTAAACAAGTGACACATAGTGTTGGTCTTATTAGACAGGTGACACATTGCAATGGTCTTATTAGACAAGTGACACATAGTGATGGTTTTATTAGACATGTAATACATTACATGGTCTTATTAGACCAGTAACACATAGGGATGGTCTTATTAGACAAGTAACACATAGTGATGGTCTTATTAGACAGGTGACATATGTAGTAGTGTTCTTAATAGATGGATTACAATGTACATGCAGTGTATATGAAAAAGACCGATGGCACTATTTGTAATAATGGTCTGGTTTGGTAATGTGTTGAGAATAGTTACCTACATGGTGATGTAATATTTTCCTGTGCATTAATGTATCAGCAGCGATTTTTCTGGTGAAACTGAAAATAAGAATGTGTGGGGTTCTATCTTCACAGCTGAGAGATTCACACTGAAGAAACTTGTAACAAGAAGAGCTGTATACATACAGATGAGAGGGTTATGTGCACAGTCAGCGCTGAGAACACTTTAATCTGTAAAATCTACTTATGAAATGAGACAGTAATATAGAAATAGGTGTATAGACCTGGGTTGTGTGATATAAGGACAAGAAACTCGACTTTGGTCAGTTTGACGAGTTAGAAACTTATAAAAGAGTCCACACCTATAAATGTATACTCGTCTTATTTTGAAAACTTCAGTAGAAGTTGACAGGCTGATATTTGTGTATCACAAGGAAAACGTTTAGATGTATAAAGCAGTAAATTTCTAAAAATTCAAACTGGATGTAAATGTTGAAAGTTGAGGTTTAGGGTCTGACACGATTCAGAGCCCTTCCTGACATGTCAGTACTCTAGTTTATAACTGAGGGCTGGTCTGTTATGACTATATTCTTGACTTCAAACATTTGATAGTGGAAGTCAAGCTTCCAATAAAGCTGGCCATATAACTTCTGATGATGGTAATATTAATCTGTGATGTAGGAAAACAACCTTCAACATCTCAAAATCTTTTACATAGCATGTCAAACGGTATTACAGAGAAATACATTCCATGCTTCAGAAGCTGTGAGTCATAACCCACTGACAATGTTGTCACCATCAATGGTAATGTTTTAAAGGATATGGTTTGTTGATGTGAGAGTCACTCTCAGGGGTGGTCAGAGGGAAATCTTACGTCACCAGTAACATCACTCTCATATATGTCCGTAGAAGTGTGGTAAATCTGATGTCAGGACCAGTAAATCTGATGTCAGGACCAGTAAATCTGATGTCAGGACTAGTAAATCTGATGTCAGGACCAGTAAATCTGATGTCAGGACCAGTAAATCTGATGTCAGGTCAGGACCAGTAAATCTGATGTCAGGTCAGGACCAGTAAATCTGATGTCAGGACCAGTAAATCTGATGTCAGGACCAGTAAATCTGATGTCAGGACCAGTAAATCTGATGTCAGGACCAGTAAATCTGATGTCAGGTCAGGACCAGTAAATCTGATGTCAGGACCAGTAAATCTGATGACAGGACCAGTAAATCTGATGTCAGGACCAGTAAATCTGATGTCAGGACCAGTAAATCTGATGTCAGGACCAGTAAATCTGATGTCAGGACCAGTAAATCTGATGTCAGGACCAGTAAATCTGATGTCAGGACCAGTAAATCTGATGTCAGGACCAGTAAATCTGATGACAGGACCAGTAAATCTGATGTCAGGACCAGTAAATCTGATGTCAGGACCAGTAAATCTGATGTCAGGACCAGTAAATCTGATGTCAGGTCAGGACCAGTAAATCTGATGTCAGGACCAGTAAATCTGATGTCAGGACCAGTAAATCTGATGTCAGGACCAGTAAATCTGATGTCAGGACCAGTAAATCTGATGTCAGGTCAGGACCAGTAAATCTGATGTCAGGACCAGTAAATCTGATGTCAGGACCAGTAAATCTGATGTCAGGACCAGTAAATCTGATGTCAGGACCAGTAAATCTGATGTCAGGACCAGTAAATCTGATGTCAGGTCAGGACCAGTAAATCTGATGTCAGGACCAGTAAATCTGATGTCAGGTCAGGACCAGTAAATCTGATGTCAGGACCAGTAAATCTGATGTCAGGACCAGTAAATCTGATGTCAGGACCAGTAAATCTGATGTCAGGTCAGGACCAGTAAATCTGATGTCAGGACCAGTAAATCTGATGTCAGGACCAGTAAATCTGTCAGGACCAGTAAATCTGATGTCAGGACCAGTAAATCTGATGTGATGACAGGACCAGTAAATCTGATGTGGACCAGTAAATCTGATGTCAAGAGTAAATCTGAGGTCAGGACCAGTAAATCTTATGTCAGGACCAGTAAATCTGATGACAGGACCAGTAAATCTGATGACAGGACCAGTAAATCTGATGTCAGGACCAGTAAATCTGATGTCAGGACCAGTAAATCTGATGTAAGGACTAAATAAATCTGATGTCAGGACCAGTAAATCTGATGTCAGGACCAGTAAATAAATCTGATGTCAGGACCAGTAAATCTGATGTCAGGACCAGTAAATCTGATGTCAGGACCAGTAAATCTGATGTCAGGACCAGTAAATCTGATGTCTGGACCAGTAAATCTGATGTCAGGACCAGTAAATCTGATGTCAGGACCAGTAAATCTGATGTCAGGACCAGTAAATCTGATGTCAGGACCAGTAAATCTGATGTCAGGACCAGTAAATCTGATGTCAGGACCAGTAAATCTGATGTCAGGACCAGTAAATCTGATGTCAGGACCAGTAAATCTGACGTCAGGTCAGGACCAGTAAATCTGATGTCAGGACTAGTAAATCTGATGACAGGACCAGTAAATGTGATGTCAGGTCAGGACCAGTAAATCTGATGTCAGGACCAGTAAATCTGATGTCAGGACCAGTAAATCTGATGTCAGGACCAGTAAATCTGATGTCAGGACAGGACCAGTAAATCTGATGTCAGGACCAGTAAATCTGATGTCAGGACCAGTAAATCTGATGTCAGGACCAGTAAATCTGATGTCAGGACCAGTAAATCTGATGTCAGGACCAGTAAATCTGATGTCAGGACCAGTAAATCTGATGTCAGGACTAGTAAATCTGATGTCAGGACCAGTAAATCTGATGTCAGGACCAGTAAATCTGATGTCAGGACCAGTAAATCTGATGTCAGGACCAGTAAATCTGATGTCAGGACCAGTAAATCTGATGTCAGGACTTGTAAATCTGATGACAGGACCAGTAAATCTGATGTCAGGACCAGTAAATCTGATGTCAGGACCAGTAAATCTGATGTCAGGACCAGTAAATCTGATGTCAGGACCAGTAAATCTGATGTCAGGACCAGTAAATCTGATGTCAGGACCAGTAAATCTGACGTCAGGTCAGGACCAGTAAATGTGATGTCAGGACCAGTAAATCTGATGTCAGGACCAGTAAATCTGATGTCAGGACCAGTAAATCTGATGTCAGGACCAGTAAATCTGATGTCAGGACCAGTAAATCTGATGTCAGGACCAGTAAATCTGATGTCAGGACCAGTAAATCTGATGTCAGGACCAGTAAATCTGATGTCAGGACCAGTAAATCTGAGGTCAGGACTAGTAAATCTGATGTCAGGACCAGTAAATCTGATGTCAGGACCAGTAAATCTGATGTCAGGACCAGTAAATCTGATGTCAGGACCAGTAAATCTGATGTCAGGTCAGGACCAGTAAATCTGATGTCAGGACCAGTAAATGTGATGTCAGGTCAGGACCAGTAAATCTGATGTCAGGTCAGGACCAGTAAATCTGATGTCAGGACCAGTAAATCTGATGTCAGGACCAGTAAATCAGGACCAGTGATGTCAGGACCAGTCAATCTTAGTAAATCTGATGTCAGGACCAGTAAATCTGATGTCAGGACCAGTAAATCTGATGTCAGGACCAGTAAATCTGATGTCAGGTCAGGACCAGTAAATCTGATGTCAGGACCAGTAAATCTGATGTCAGGTCAGGACCAGTAAATCTGATGTCAGGACCAGTAAATCTGATGTCAGGACCAGTAAATCTGATGTCAGGACCAGTAAATCTGATGTCAGGACCAGTAAATCTGATGTCAGGACCAGTAAATCTGATGTCAGGACCAGTAAATCTGATGTCAGGTCAGGACCAGTAAAATGATCTGATGTCAGGACTAGTAAATCTGACGTCAGGTCAGGACTAGTAAATCTAATGACAGGACCAGTAAATGTGATGTCAGTTCAGGACCAGTAAATCTGATGTCTGGACCAGTAAATCTGATGTCAGGACCAGTAAATCTGATGTCAGGACCAGTAAATCTGATGTCAGGACCAGTAAATCTGATGTCAGGACCAGTAAATCTGATGACAGGACCAGTAAATCTGATGTCAGGACCAGTAAATCTGATGTCAGGACCAGTAAATCTGATGTCAGGACCAGTAAATCTGATGTCAGGACCAGTAAATCTGATGTAAATCTGATGGGACCAGTAAATCTGATGTCAGGACCAGTAAATCTGATGTCAGGACCAGTAAATCTGATGTCAGGACCAGTAAATCTGATGTCAGGACCAGTAAATCTGATGTCAGGACAGGACCAGTAAATCTGATGTCAGGACCAGTAAATCTGATGTCAGGACCAGTAAATCTGATGTCAGGACCAGTAAATCTGATGTCAGGACCAGTAAATCTGATGTCAGGACCAGTAAATCTGATGTCAGGACTAGTAAATCTGATGTCAGGACCAGTAAATCTGATGTCAGGACCAGTAAATCTGATGTCAGTTCAGGACTGTTGTACTTTTAAAATCCTCTTTCAGATTATAAGTGTTATAATTTCTTGCAAGTGCATGTTCTGGTCAGTTATCTCGGCAAAAACAGTTTAACCTTGCAATATCCATTATATAAAAGCTCAGTTGTCCTCTTATTTGTAACACAATTAGATAAATAGCACCACAGCTGTTTTGCCATCTCTGAAACTGTTCTGAAATATTAATAAGTGTGTGTTTTAGTAAGTATAGCTGATAATTAAGTACTTATTTCACTAACTAACTTGCAACACTGTTGCTTGTTAAGTAGCAGTGAAGTATTGTTTGATGATTATAAATAGCATCTAATTTTACAGAAGAATCCTGATTTGAATTTAATGAGTATTTAAGATATGTTAACTGAACTAGGATAGATTATTAACTAGTCCGTTTATTTTATGTGTGTTTTTGTAGTAGATGAATGCAGTACCATTACTAACGCATGTTTCAGCTTGCCCAGCCTATCAGGTTTTTGCTGACTTATGCTGGTGAAGACTTTGAAGACATTTTATATGAGCAAGGAGATGGTATGTACTGTAAATCTGTAACATGTGATTACTGTGTAGAATGTTGTAGGTCATTATGTAGGATTTCATGTACATACTTCATGTGTATGGCACTGTAGTAGTTAATGCAAACAGTATTATTGCTACATGTACTAACAACTCGTCTGAGTGGACAGATAAGAGAGGGACGACACAGGTAGTAACGAGAGGGGGACAACACAGGTAGTCACTGAGAGGGGAACTACACAGGTAGTTACCAAGAGGGGTACAACACGGGTAGTTACTGAGAGGGGACTAGATTCTCTCTAGATAATATGTCATTGTCCTGTAATAGTTAGTGACATGTCCTGACACTGGGATTCTCTCTAGATAATATGTCATTGTCCTGTAATAGTTAGTGACATGTCCTGACACTGGGATTCTCTCTAGATAATATGTCATTGTCCTGTAATAGTTAGTGACATGTCCTGACACTGGGATTCTCTCTAGATAATATGTCATTGTCCTGTAATAGTTAGTGACATGTCCTGACACTGGGATTCTCTCTAGATAATATGTCATTGTCCTGTAATAGTTAGTGACATGTCCTGACACTGGGATTCTCTCTAGATAATATGTCATTGTCCTGTAATAGTTAGTGACATGTCCTGTCACCGGGATTCTTTCTAATTAATTTGTTATGTATATATAAATATTACTGTTACAACCTAGTATTTTTGATGAATTCAGTGTTTTCATTAAGATTCCGATCAAGTGATTTGTTTTAAGAAACAGTCAATTGAATAGTAACAAATATTATTTTATACCTTAAGCTAAAAAACTAGCCAGCTCAGAGTAACAGCTAGACAACTTTTGCTGACAACCAGTTTTAAATGAGAACACTGAAATGAGTGTGAAATAGATACTTACCAGTTAAGGACATACACACATGTTTTGTGTTATTAGCCTTCATTGCATATTTCCCTCTCACTATAGTTTCTTTACCTGTCTCATTATTTGTACTGTTAATGATCGTTAATGAGCTTGTCATTCATGTTTCAGTGACGAAGGTCCCATTATTTGTACTATTAATGATTGTTAATGAGCTTGTCATTCATGTTTCACTGACGGGGATATACATGTATGTACAAAGTTTTTGTGATCAGTGTTTCGATATACTGCAGATACATCCCTAAATCTTTGAAAATATTTGTATGTAATTGTCAGCAATATCTGAGAATTTAAGTAAGTTTGAAATCATTAAAATTTTTCTCAGGTCATCCATTCTGTTTTCAGTATCTGTTTTAACATTGTGAAACGAGATAATATTAATTCAGCTCTCGGTAAATTGAAACAAACCTTGTTGAAAAGTAGGTGTTCTAACATTCAGAACAGATTTGGACATAACATTGTAAACCATTGTTGTATACTTGACAGGTCCAGAATTCAGCAGAGATGCCTGGTACAGTGTCAAAGAGTCCATAGGACTTCATTTTCCAAATGTAGGTATAACTGAGATGGACTAATAGTCAAATGACATCTACCTTCCAAACCTGGAAACCCATTCTGCACAGACTTCTTAAAACATAAACAGGTAGAGGGGAAAAAGACAAAAAAAGAATAAAAATGAAATTTCAGTGATCTTCTGTTACATTGAAAGAAATCTGTACAATAGTCCTATGGTCAATAGATTTCTCATTATTGTTAAATTCATTCATACTGTCAGTATTTTCTGTATAGCAAGACAATGTGTTGTGGTGGGGACAGGTATTGTATCATGACCAGACAGTGTGTTGTGGTAGGGGACATGTATCATGACTAGACAGTGTGTTGTGGTAGGGGACATGTATCGTGACTAGACAGTGTGTTGTGGTAGGGGACATGTATCATGACTAGACAGTGTGTTGTGGTAGGGGACATGTATCATGACTAGACAGTGTGTTGTGGTAGGGGACATGTATCGTGACTAGACAGTGTGTTGTGGTAGGGGACGTGTATCATGACTAGACAGTGTGTTGTGGTAGGGGACATGTATCATGACTAGACAATGTGTTGTGGTAGGGGACATGTATCATGACTAGACAGTGTGTTGTGGTAGGGGACATGTATCGTGACTAGACAGTGTGTTGTGGTAGGGGACATGTATCATGACTAGACAGTGTGTTGTGGTAGGGGACATGTATCATGACTAGACAGTGTGTTGTGGTAGGGGACATGTATCATGACTAGACAGTGTGTTGTGGTAGGGGACATGTATCATGACTAGACAGTGTGTTGTGGTAGGGGACATGTATCATGACTGTGTTGTGGTAGGGGACATGTGTGTGTGTTGGTAGGGGACATGTATCATGACTAGACAGTGTGTTGTGGTAGGGGACATGTATCATGACTAGACAGTGTGTTGTGGTAGGGGACATGTGTTGTGTTGTGGTAGGGGACATGTATCATGACTAGACAGTGTGTTGTGGTAGGGGACATGTATCATGACTAGACAGTGTGTTGTGGTAGGGGACATGTATCATGACTAGACAGTGTGTTGTGGTAGGGGACATGTATCATGACTAGACAGTGTGTTGTGGTAGGGGACATGTATCATGACTAGACAGTGTGTTGTGGTAGGGGACATGTATCATGACTAGACAGTGTGTTGTGGTAGGGGACATGTATCATGACTAGACAGTGTGTTGTGGTAGGGGACATGTATCATGACTAGACAGTGTGTTGTGGTAGGGGACATGTATCATGACTAGACAGTGTGTTGTGGTAGGGGACATGTATCATGACTAGACAGTGTGTTGTGGTAGGGGACATGTATCATGACTAGACAGTGTGTTGTGGTAGGGGACATGTATCATGACTAGACAGTGTGTTGTGGTAGGGGACATGTATCATGACTAGACAGTGTGTTGTGGTAGGGGACATGTATCATGACTAGACAGTGTGTTGTGGTGGGGACATGTATTGTATCGTGACTAGACAGTGTGTTGTGGTAGGGGACATGTATCATGACTAGACAGTGTGTTGTGGTAGGGGACATGTATCATGACTAGACAGTGTGTTGTGGTAGGGGACATGTATCATGACTAGACAGTGTGTTGTGGTAGGGGACATGTATCATGACTAGACAGTGTGTTGTGGTAGGGGACATGTGTGACTAGACAGTGTGTTGTGGTAGGGGACATGTATCATGACTAGACAGTGTGTTGTGGTAGGGGACATGTATCATGACTAGACAGTGTGTTGTGGTAGGGGACATGTATCATGACTAGACAGTGTGTTGTGGTAGGGGACATGTATCGTGACTAGACAGTGTGTTGTGGTAGGGGACATGTATCATGACTAGACAGTGTGTTGTGGTAGGGGACATGTATCGTGTTGTGTTGTGGTAGGGGACATGTATCATGACTAGACAGTGTGTTGTGGTAGGGGACATGTATCATGACTAGACAGTGTGTTGTGGTAGGGGACATGTATCATGACTAGACAGTGTGTTGTGGTAGGGGACATGTATCATGACTAGACAGTGTGTTGTGGTAGGGGACATGTATCATGACTAGACAGTGTGTTGTGGTAGGGGACATGTATCATGACTAGACAGTGTGTTGTGGTAGGGGACATGTATCATGACTAGACAGTGTGTTGTGGTAGGGGACATGTATCATGACTAGACAGTGTGTTGTGGTAGGGGACATGTATCATGACTAGACAGTGTGTTGTGGTAGGGGACATGTATCATGACTAGACAGTGTGTTGTGGTAGGGGACATGTATCATGACTAGACAGTGTGTTGTGGTAGGGGACATGTATCATGACTAGACAGTGTGTTGTGGTAGGGGACATGTATCATGACTAGACAGTGTGTTGTGGTAGGGGACATGTATCATGACTAGACAGTGTGTTGTGGTAGGGGACATGTATCATGACTAGACAGTGTGTTGTGGTAGGGGACATGTATCATGACTAGACAGTGTGTTGTGGTAGGGGACATGTATCATGACTAGACAGTGTGTTGTGGTAGGGGACATGTATCATGACTAGACAGTGTGTTGTGGTAGGGGACATGTATCATGACTAGACAGTGTGTTGTGGTAGGGGACATGTATCATGACTAGACAGTGTGTTGTGGTAGGGGACATGTATCATGACTAGACAGTGTGTTGTGGTAGGGGACATGTATCATGACTAGACAGTGTGTTGTGGTAGGGGACATGTATCATGACTAGACAGTGTGTTGTGGTAGGGGACATGTATCGTGACTAGACAGTGTGTTGTGGTAGGGGACATGTATCATGACTAGACAGTGTGTTGTGGTAGGGGACATGTATCATGACTAGACAGTGTGTTGTGGTAGGGGACATGTATCATGACTAGACAGTGTGTTGTGGTAGGGGACATGTATCATGACTAGACAGTGTGTTGTGGTAGGGGACATGTATCCTGACTAGACTGTGTGTTGTGGTAGGGGACATGTATCGTGACTAGACAGTGTGTTGTGGTAGGGGACATGTATCATGACTAGACAGTGTGTTGTGGTAGGGGACATGTATCATGACTAGACAGTGTGTTGTGGTAGGGGATAGGGGACATGTATCATGACTAGACACAGTGTTGTGGTAGGGGACATGTATCATGACTAGACAGTGTGTTGTGGTAGGGGACATGTATCATGACTAGACAGTGTGTTGTGGTAGGGGACATGTATCATGACTAGACAGTGTGTTGTGGTAGGGGACATGTATCGTGACTAGACAGTGTGTTGTGGTAGGGGACATGTATCATGACTAGACAGTGTGTTGTGGTAGGGGACATGTATCATGACTAGACAGTGTGTTGTGGTAGGGGACATGTATCGTGACTAGACAGTGTGTTGTGGTAGGGGACATGTATCATGACTAGACAGTGTGTTGTGGTAGGGGACATGTATCATGACTAGACAGTGTGTTGTGTGAGGGGACATGTATCATGTTATATGATCCCAGAAGAGGTAATGAATTTTTTTTTTACTTTCAGCTGCCTTATTATATGGATGATGATGTGAAAATGACACAGAGTAACACAATCATCAGGTACATAGCTGGAAAATATGACCTTTGTAAGTAACTGACCTAACAAGATCCACCTGTCCTTGTGTCATACCTGGCCTTTGTTTACTGTCCTAATGTCATACATGACCTTTGTTTACTGTCTTAATGTCATACATGACCTTTGTTTACTGTCCTAATGTAGAGTACCAGCACACCAGTCCTTCTGTCATACATGACATTCATTACCTACCTAGAGTACCTGCACACCAGTCCTTATATCATACATGACTTTTGTTACCAACCTATAGTAACATCACACCAGTCCTTATGTCATACATGACCTTTGTTACCAACCTAGAGTAACACCACACCAGTCCTTATGTCATACATGACATTTGTTACCTACCTAGAGTAACATCACACCTGTCCTTATGTCATACATGACATTCGTTACCTACCTAGAGTAACATCACACCTGTCCTTATGTCATACATGACATTTGTTACCTACCTAGAGTAACATCACACCAGTCCTTATGTCATACATGACATTCATTACCTACCTAGGGTAACATCACACCTGTCCTTATGTCATACATGACCTTTGTTACCAATCTAGAGTAACATCACACCTGTCCTTATGTCATATATGACATTTGTTACCTACCTAGAGTAACATCACACCATTCCTTATGTCATACATGACATTTGTTACCTACCTAGAGTAACATCACACCTGTCCTTATGTCATACATGACATTCGTTACCTACCTATAGTAAAATCACACATGTCCTTATGTCATACATGACCTTTGTTACCAACCTAGAGTAACATCACACCAGTCCTTATGTCATACATGACATTTGTTACCAACCTATAGTAACATCACACCTGTCCTTATGTCATACATGACCTTTGTTACCAACCTAGAGTAACATCACACCAGTCCTTATGTCATACATGACATTTGTTACCTACCTATAGTAACATCACACCTGTCTTTATGTCATACATGACATTTGTTACCTACCTAGAGTAACATCACACCATTCCTTATGTCATACATGACATTTACATCACACCTGTCCTTATGTCATACATGACATTCGTTACCTACCTATAGTAACATCACACCTGTCCTTATGTCATACATGACATTTGTTACCTACCTATAGTATCATCACACCTGTCCTTATGTTATACATGACATTCGTTACCTACCTAGAGTAACATCACACCTGTCCTTATGTCATACATGACATTTGTTACCTACCTAGAGTAACATCACACCTGTCCTTATGTCATACATGACATTCGTTACCTACCTAGAGTAACATCACACCTGTCCTTATGTCATACATGACATTCGTTACCTACCTATAGTAACATCACACCTGTCCTTATGTCATACATGACATTTGTTACCTACCTATAGTAACATCACACCTGTCCTTATGTTATACATGACATTCGTTACCTACCTAGAGTAACATCACACCTGTCCTTATGTCATACATGACATTTGTTACCTACCTAGAGTAACATCACACCTGTCCTTATGTCATACATGACCTTTGTTACCAACCTATAGTAACATCACACCTGTCCTTATGTCATACATGACCTTTGTTACCTACCTAGAGTAACATCACACCTGTCCTTATGTCATACATGACATTTGTTACCAATCTAGAGTAACATCACACCTGTCCTTATGTCATACATGACCTTTGTTACCAACCTATAGTAACATCACACCTGTCCTTATGTCATACATGACCTTTGTTACCTACCTATAGTAACATCACACCTGTCCTTATGTCATACATGACCTTTGTTACCTACCTATAGTAACATCACACCTGTCCTTATGTCATACATGACATTTGTTACCAATCTAGAGTAACATCACACCAGTCCTTATGTCATACATTTGTACATGAACTTTGTTTGTTGATTAAGTCATCATATGATTTAAGACTTTCCAATACTGTGTACTGTTTGTCTGTTGATTTCCTAAGTTTGTATAACGTATCTACAGAATATTAAAATTTAACATAATTGTTGTAAGTTACAGGAAGTTATTGCTATGATGATGTAAATAGATATATTTCAGTGATAAAACTATAGCTAATCATGATTTGTTTCAGTGGGCAAGACTAAGGAAGAGAAAGTCCTGTGTGACATGATGCTAGAAAATGCCATGGACTTCAGAAATGGCACTGTTCGACTGTGTTATAATCAAGACTATGTATGTTAAATCACACAGATATCTTGGAACTCATCATCTGATATCAGAAACCCACAAGACTGCTATCAAATGACAAATGAGTGTGGTCTTGTGGGTGTCCAACCACATGGGCTCTGTATCTTCTAGAATGTTTATGTCTTTTATAACAACACTGATAAGATGGTAACTTGAGCGGGTTCATTCTACAATGTTTTATCTTGACATGCTTGGTTTCTTTTATTCAAGGATAATTTTCTTGTTAAAATGTTCAAAACACACAATCATAACTTGTGATAGTTTTGTGCAGTTTATATGTATAAATGCTAAATTTAAATATAAGAATATATGCATGTAGTAATATGAGCGCAAGATAATGGTGTGATATTCTATAACAGTAACATTAATTCCTAATTATTGAGGACGTCCTAGAGCAAGGGAGAAGTATTTGTTGATATCTAGGATAGCTGCAACTTTTACCTAATGATATACTGTTGTTCCAGGATCAGCTGAAGGGGGCCTACTTTGAAAGACTGTTGAAAGTCATCCTTCCTTCGTTTGAGAAATTCTTGGGAGCAAACGATTGGTTTGCTCATGGTGATAATGTAAGTAAAGTATATTTTAATATGCATGCAATAAAAATAAAAACCCAAATAAGCTTGAACACAGAGGTCATCAATGGCCTCGTCCTCTCTTTTGTGGTTATACATCCCCTGTAATCATCAATTATATCACTAAGGTTGATGTTAGACATGTCATGTGGACTTCATAAATAAGGAAGCAACAATATTCATCGGTGTAAAGTTGTAAAATTTGCTCTTGATCTTTGACCCAGTAACCTTGATCTATTTGACCCATCAACCTTGACCTTTGGTTAGTTGACATCTTAATTTTAGACCAACTTTGCTTCATAATATCAATGAAAATACAAATTTTGACCTTGTCCCTTGAATGGAATGACCTTGTTCTGTGACCTTGTTTTTTGACCGCAGTATGTTTTTTTGTGAACTGAATAAAAAAGTCATATAGAGAGGTAAATAAATTCTTGAGTTATCAACCAGGAACTGGACATATTGACTGTTGGATGGATGGACAAAGTGATTATTATAGGTCACCCAAATCTCTGATACAGGGCCTCAATTATCCTGTTGAACTCCAACGATATAAAAACCACATTATTTATATGTTGGGATTTTTTGATGGGTTATTTTGATATGTATTTACCTTTTTGCAATGCTCTATATACTACAATGCAAGCTGAATTTTTATAAATTTGGGTTCTTGATCCAAAATATGTGTATTTTATGCACTGAAAACATGATAAAAATGAATGATTATGTCTTTTGTATATATACTGAATAATAGAGACAATACAATGTTGTACATGATTCAGATTTATATTACTGGCATTGAAGTATATGTAAAAGGAGAATAATTATTTTCAATAGCAATTTGTAATCATAGAATTTGATTTTAACATCAGGTAACAGCTTGTGATTTTCCTATGTACGAGCTACTGGACCAGCATCGTCTCATGAAACCTGATTGCCTAGAGGACTTCCCAAATCTAACAGCTTTCCTAAAGCGGTTTGAAGATCTGCAACAGATCAAGGACTATATGCAATGTCCTCAGTTCATCGCTCGTCCTGTTAACAACAAAGTGGCAAAGTTCAAATAGACATATGGACTTATAAGCTAATCAGTATTGAAGTCAGTGGAAAATTCATGCAGTATTAGAATTTTTTTTTTTTCAAAATTGGTTAAAATTTCTTTTTCAGGGTAATATCAATGATATTAATTTCTTCTAAATAGTTTATGTAGGTTGTTAACATCGAAGTGTATGGTATAAAGAATGATGTGCATGTTGTTAACATCGAAGTGTATGGTATAAAGAATGATGTGCATGTTATATGTGTAAGCAGATTGAATGACTATGAAACAGACAGTTAGTGATCATAACGAAATCACTATCATATTTGTACCATTAACCATTCCTTCAGCACTTATTTTGTTATTGGCAAGCTTTAACACTGGCATGGTGCTTACCTAGAGTGTATACGCAGAAATGCTGACAGTATTTCAGGTAACAGGGAAATTTCACTTGCTTTGTATTATTGTAGATTAACTTTAACTAATATGCAATGTTGATTCTTTATGATGTTGTTAGGACCAAAAGGGTCAGATTTGTTGGTATGCTACAGAAATTTACGTGTATTTTTCAAAATAATTTTTATATTTGGACTATGATTAGAAATTGCTTACATATACATTTACTTGGAACCACTGTAACAAGGTATACACAAGCTGCATTTTATGTTGCAGTTGTGAATGTCTTTTGAATTGGAACATTATAAACAATCATGATTATACAGAACAAGACTTGTCAAGTCTGTGTGACAGGTTAAACGAAAAAGATAGAAGGAGTTTTAAGGATAACAATTTTTAAAATTATCTTTATTCTAAAAATGTTATATTTCTAGTAGTCATGCAATTTTACTTTGGTTCAAAATCTATTTTATTAACCAAACAGTGTTGTTTATACCCATTAGATTCATTTGCAGTACCTTTGAATGTTTTATAGAAAATACACACGGGCTTAGTATTGTATAGGTTTTTGATGGTTCCTCAATTCAAATCAGTTCATAAGTACATAAGCTGTGGCACTTTATATCATGATTCTTTGCTATTTGAAAGAAATGCTTCTGTTAAAGTCTTTATTATCAAAGTTTAATAAAAGTTGTGTGTAAAGCAACATCCTTAACTAGTTGTTATCATTAGGTGTGGCTACGTCAGTAATTTTCAAAAGATTATCACAGGTGAGCCATGCTCAGTTCTGCATGATAATACACCAATTTCAAAATTTTGATGAGTCCAAATACTATGAAGTAAATATGTAGTAGGTTCTCAAAATTTGAGTCCCACTCACTGTCAATAAAACTTGTGGTCTACAATATTTGTTGTAATTTTAAGATATATTTGAATATGAGATGGATTAATCTGTTTCTGAAAAGAAAACTGATTTGACCTTTTATCTTTATCTTAGGCTTTCAGAGAGAAACCATTGGAGCCAACGAAAATGATTAAAGTGATAGAACCTGTTTTATTCAATCACCATAAAGTATTAAATATATAGAATTTACACCATTATTTTAACAAAGCAGTACCTCTAATGTTCACATCACATCTCATTTTCAGCTCACCTGGTTTGAGGTTTTGTAAATATAAATGGTGGGTCTGACTTCCTGGGGGTAAATATGGGGTCCTTTTGTGCCAAAAATGTATGGTTTCTGGGGAAAATACTACAATATCATTTTTTTCATTTTTTTTCCAGGAAAACTTAATGTAAACATGTTGGATATCATGTATGAAAAGCAAGAAATCAAATTTTCTGAAGGTCATAATTAAAACTTCCAGTAAGAGTCCACGTGTAATTATGTGCTTTAAGAAATCTTCAAACAGTATTAAATAAATTGCCCAAAAATAGTAATTAGGAGTTTTGTGCAAAGTAAACAAAATTGATTGACAATATGCCTATGTATGCTTTTTAGGAAAAACGAGCAAAGGGGGACATCTTAATTGTTGTAAAGTGAACTGAAACAAAATGTTTTCACTTGGTTTTGATTGTTCAAAGGGGCTGCCACCTACACTAATAACCTACCAAAGTAGAATTTCAACTTTCAAAATGGCCGTTATGTTCCCCGATAACTGCACAATTTAAAGGTTTATAGAACTGCTGAATCAATATCCTAACAAGAATGCTAAATGATAGATTTAAGTTGGTATCCACATTAAACCACCTAATCTAGAATCCAGTAACTCTTCTTTGTCCTAGAATCTGATTGGTCATGTCAGTTTTGGTCTACATCGTAAAGTAATAAAGTTCTAATTGTCCAATATTTCAGATTTGATTTTTGAATGCAATGACACACTTGTTTCAAAATGCTTATATTATCCTAAATAGTACAGGATACTGGCTATGTTGGCACATACCCCCATGGTTCTCTGTCCAGTAGGACACTGGTAATAATATTCCTTTATGGGATTAATAGCGTCGGAGCTGTCATGCTGGATCCAAACATTGTGCTTTACACTGCTCTTATGCCTCGGACATCGTACAATGTCTCACAAGTGCCTATAGATCCAGATCTCATAGTCAGCACTTATGTAGTAAGCTGCCAATGATATTAGGTATGTGCCATAGGATTGCAACCAAAGGTACTCCATGTCTTACTTTGGAAAGTCACAATTATCCGTAGTAGCTTTAGTTTGATAAATAGTCATTTGACCCTTCTGGTAAGATGTGACTCATTTTTCACACGCCGAGATTAGATGTTGTAAACACTAATGTGTACTTTTATCTTGGAAGCCAGCATCGTATCCTTTGTATCTCGCTTTTGTTTTCCAACATATATGGGTTCAATGAAATAGTTGGAGGCAAGTTTAGTTTTGAAAAACAGTCATTGCTCGAATCATCCGTGATATGACTCCATTACCTATCTGGATTTAGTAGCTTGTAGGTCACGTTTAAGTCTGTCCAGGATTTAGATATTTGTTGTCAAACCACATGATTTCATTTCTGGCAAAACGTCCTTAAACCTTTGATCAACAATGACGTCAATCTTTCTTCATCCAGAACAGACTATCCACGTTGGCTTTTGTAATCTTTGCATCATTATTGCTTCCAGAAAACGGTTTAAATGTGTGAAGTAGGTAACCATCAGACCGGGCTATGCTCATGAGCCTCAAATAGTTCCACTTCTTCTGTCCACAGTTAAAAGATTCTCTGGAGCTTGTTATCTTTTAGGAATAAAGATATATGTATCGTCAAGTGTGACAGTCGACCCTTGCCAAGAAATGCTTTTGAGAAAAACCGTGTTGTGCTCAGAATATTTCTCTTGTAAGATGTTCATGTCCATGGAACAAAGGAACAGTGGTTATTTCTAATGCTTTACTATCGAATGAACTGTTTTTGATATACTGCATATTGTCATGATAAAAAGGGTTGAACACCATTTCCATGATATGTCCGTCCTCATTTTTAACCAGAGCAACAGTACTGCATCCTCATGGTTTGGAGTGTAAACACCAGTGCCAGTAGAGGATGAGCAATAAGAAAAAATTTTTAGAAACTGTTCTTGTCCAACCAGTCCAGGCTTTGCAATCTGCATCAATCAAAGAGGAGAAATGCAGTGTAAAAGAAGACTCCTACTTATTTGTGTTATCTCCAACAGATCAATGATGATTGTCTTTGATCTGGAAAGTAGCTTGAAAGTCATCATTTCTCTTCCATCCTTTCCCTAACAGATGACGTGAACAAATATTTGAGTGCCTAGGACGCCAAAATTTGCGATGAAAGATGTGTTGGTATTTTGCGCACTTGGGCAATATAGTCGAGTTATAATTGAAACTCTTCATATATAGTGTGCATTTTGTGTTTGAAAACTGGCCACAAATAGATGCTCTATGGATAATAGTTGGATGTTTTGCAATGTATCATTATTGACACCAACTTTTCTTATCAGTTACCAACCTCTTGATCATCAGCTAAGTTATTGCCATCAGCTTTTAAAACATCATACAACCAATTGTGCTGGGAAGTCTTATACTTCTAGCAGATTTCATGGTTTTAATGTCTCTCCTATAGACAACTTTACAACTCGCACCTAAACATCTACCTCTCATTGTCAGAACAGTGCTGTATTAGGTGTAGTAGAAAATATAGAACATAATGTCTAAAGAACAATTGATGATATTAGGGTATATGGGGTATACAATATATTGTTGGTAGGTTTGTATAGTAACTATCGGTCATATGATATATTGTATTTAATGTCCCAATTATAATTGACAGATATAGTCATTCAAGGACATGTCAGAACTACTTGTATGTGTGTTAGTGGTTGTTATATATTAGGCAAGGCACATGTGTACATGAAATGTCCACTATCGTTCAACAAATCATTGGGGTGATGCACATCATAGCCAAAAACCAACACTTTGCATAAATGGTGAAGGGTTAGAGTAAGAGATAAATCTATATGCTGTACAATTTTGAATGGACTGAATAAGGAAGACATTCAAAATTTCATTTGTTCACAAAAGTTTGATGTTTTTTTCACAAAATGCTTAAGAAATCAATATCAGTAGTATACTTACTGTTTTAGCATTTTGGTATTTAGTTTGTGGTTCAAACTTTCCTACTTCATTAAGATAATTATTTCTTATCTGTTTCGTGACAATCCGTGTTCATAGTCTAGTAAATTAGTAACACAATTAGTTAATCAGGCAAGTGTGTCATCAATTAATTTGGATTAAATGTTAAGCCAAGGGAACTAACTTTGATGGCACACAAAACAATGTATTGGTGAGTGATCTTAAAGGGTGAACAAATCTTAGGTCAACCTCTATGGGAAATTTGCATCGCTGGAAACGCCCCCATCTCAGCTTCCTGGATCAGAAGGGGCATGGCCCAATTTAAGAAATATAGCAAATTCTTTGACATCCTACCTCAGTAGGAATCTTTGGATTTTGTCCTATTTTATCTGCAGCATTCCTGGCTAAAAGGGATAAATTTTGTATGAACGGTGGTTCTCAGCCCACTGGGCATAAAAGGGGAAATAGAGGGAATAGTTTAACAAGAGGCCCATGGGCCTTAACGGTCATCTGACAAAAAGCTAGCCAAACTCCAACAACAGCGAGTCTGCTGTTAAAACAGTGGGCTTTATTCATTTGAATAAACTTGGTAGCCCTTCCTTGCAGCATCCTACAGGCCCAATATCAGCACTCTGAGCCTTTTGGTTACTGAGAAGAAGTCGTTTTTAAACATATTTGAACCCTGTGATCTTGAAAGTGGGTCAAGGTCATTCACTTGAACATATTTGGTAGCATGTCATCCCAGCATCCTACAGGTCGATTATCAGCACTCTTGGACTTTTGCTTATTGAAGAGAAGTTGTTTGTATATTTTAACATATTTGACCCCTGTGACCTAGAAAGTGGGTCGAGGTCATTCATTTGAACAAACTTGGTAGCATGTCATCCCAGCATCCTACAGGTCCATTATCAGCACTCTGAGCCTTTTGGTTGTTGAGAAGAAGTTGTTTAAAAATTTGAACATATTTGACTTCTGACCTAGAAAGTGGGTTGAGGTCATTCATTTGAACAAACTTGGTAGCCCTTCCTCCAAGCATCCTACAGGCCCAATATCAGTACTCTTTGACGTTTGCTTATTGAGGAGAAGTCATTTGTATATCTTAACATATTTGACCCCTGTGACCTTGAAAGTGGGTCAAGGTCATTCATTTGAACAAACTTGGTAGCCTTTCCTCCAAGCATCCTACAGGCCCAATATCAGCACTCATGGACCTTTGCTTATTGAGAAGTCGTTTGTATATTTTAACATATTTGACCTCTTTGACCTTGAAAGTGGGTCAAGGTCATTCGTTTGAACAAACTTGGTAGCCCTTTCCTCCAAGCATCCTACAGGCCCAATATCAGCATTCATGGACTTTTGCTTATTGAGAAGAGTTGTTTGTATATTTCAACATATTTGACCCCTGTGACCTTGAAAAAGGGTCAAGGTCATTCATTTGAACAAACTTGGTAGCCCTTCATCCCAGCATGCTACAGACCCAATATCAGCATTCTGAGCCTTTTGGTTGTTGAGAAGAAGTTTTTTGAATGAACAGTTTACAGACGACGCACGGTGCATGGTGGACGGCGCAAGGCGGACGACGACGGATGAAGCACGATGGCTATGAGTCATCTGGACCCTTAGGGTCTGTTGGAATAATTCAATTTTGTCTAGATTGTGCTGAAGCATCCTTGGGTGAAGAGGCCTTAGTTTTGTATATAGGGTGCATCTAGCCCCCATTGAGGGGTGGGTGGGTGCTAACTTTAGTTTTTTTTTAATCAATGTAAGCAAAATTAAGCAAATGAGCATTACAGACTTTTTGGGCCTTTTGTTTCATATTAATTAGCACTGCACTACATTTTTCTCCAGCTTTTTGTAGAACAAAAATTTCATGGAGTCTCAACAAGATTGATTAGATAGTATACAAAAACATAACTCACAATATGTTGTACATGTATTTTGTATTTTTGATCTGCTGTTACTTGAATGCACAAGACAAATATAAGTAGCGCTATGTACAATATAAATTCACATTAGGACGACAGTAAGTATTGACACTTAAGCAGACAGGTATTTTTTAAACTTGTTGTCCGGTAAAAAGTTTGATCACAAATCGGATGAATACAGAGAAACTTTTTCATGTGATGAGAAAGTATTAAATGTACTCAGCCCAGTTTGATCGTAACAAATTAAACTGATGACGATAGTTTCGTCGCCTAACATTCAACACAGCACTGCATAGCTGACAAGTACACACAACATACGGAATGCTGTAACTATTCATGATGTCACAAGGCATTCAGGATTAAATATAACAGTAAAATTCTTAGTACAAAGTCCGCAGAGAAAAAAAGTCATAGCATGATCAAGTGATTAAATCTTGTAAGGATTTTTTTTTCAAGTCTTGCATTACTCTTTCTTGTGTGTATTTGAAGATTTGTATCTCAAAGTTTTTCTAGAAATTGTTATTTTTGTGGTAGTATCAACACACGGCAGTACTCTATCAACTGTGCACAGTCGTCAACTTCCTTTAAATGGTTAAACTTTACCAAAAGGTTAACAATTACTGGCCTCTCCTAATACGGTAGAATGATACTAGTATATTCAGATTGGGATGAACATTAAGCACCAATTTGAACAACATTAAATTATGAGTACACCCTTTAAATATTAATGCACTCTGGTAAAGACATTACTTTCATAAAACTTGGAAATTTGTTACCTATGGGTATTTTCAAAAGATGTTTTTAACAGCAAGTGAAGCTGTAATACCTAAAACCTGCTCACTTAACTGAAGAAGAAAAATCAATACAAGGTACAAAGGATTTTGCCTAAACCTATCTTCAGAACAATTTGAGAGGAACACTCAAGAGTTGGTATTTTAGATATGTCTGCTATTTTATGAATTGAAATTTTCATTCAGAAATATAGATAATCATGAACATGACTTCTAAAACGGGAGATCATAAAATGAAGAATTCAAGTACAATATCATTTAACGTGTGTGTCACTGTAATTAGTTTATATAGATATGCAGTAATATACTGATACATGTATATATAATTGTATTTGGGGAAATCAAAGTGTATTCACATTACTATTGTAATATAAATATCTCGCATACTGGTCACTTTTGCATACTTACAAAATTATGAAATATGCAGACATCATTATATGCATGCATTTATATACTAAAAATTTACAAAATAATACAGGGCAAAACTACACAAATCATAATGTAGTATGATGGACTAAGTGGGCGAGATAATGGGAGTGGTGACTCTGACACTTGGTCATCTCCCCGTCACATAAATATCCCATCTTTTTCACAGCCTGAACAAAAAACAAACTGATTTTGTTTGGCCCTATGAAATGCAGCCCAACAATCTCATCTACAAACACTCAGGATTTTTCAACTTACTGTCACAAATATTGAAGTGAAGAATACAAACTGTGAATATAGGATATATTGAATAAACCTATAACCATTTCAAATAATGTTTCACATGATTAACAGTAGCTTTAAGCCAAGTTTTATTAGAGATAACTCAAACAAATCACAACTTTGTCATGATGAATGTAAAACAGTTTGGGGTATGATGCACATTAAATATAGTGATGACATCTTTGTGTGCTGTTTACTTAATCAAGTATATTCTTCTCTGATAATTATATCTGTTAAGTGAAAATACAATACAAAGCTGTTCATTTGTGTTGTTAGAATACGATAATAAGCTGGCTTACAGTGATCTCCAAAATCCCAGCTCTAACATATACTCATAGACACAGAAATTTCATCACAACTGGTTACACCATCTTTTTCAATTTTTTAATTGAAGCATTTTTGTAATAACAAACTGTGTCATATATCCTACAACAACCTACTTAAATCAATTTACTTGAACAAACTAAAACATCATTAACTGATTTTGATACACGATAAAGCAGTGCTGGACACACCCTAATACAGCCAAGTCTTCCCTCCTTTAATTCTGCTAAATTGACTTTTTTCTTTTTCCAGCTTTGCGAAAACATTTGTGTTGTCCTTTGTAATACTTTATGACCTTTATAGGAGACACAATTCTATCTTTTGTAATACTTTATGAGCTGTACAACAGATTTACAATTCTATCAATTCTCTGTAGATCAATTTGAAAATATTCATCATTTCACACTTTTTGTAAAAAAAAAAAAATCCACTTTCCTGTCTTGTTTCCTTCAATTAGAAGACTTTGACGACCTTGATAATCAATTATGGCATCTTCCTGAGAAAGAGCACCAAAAGCTCATATTGCACAATCCGGGGAAGCAGATGTTTCATGAGTAATTACCTCCCTTTTAGACTTTAATATTTCTTTCATTGCTTCAAACATTGATAACAAAATTTACACATTCAAAGTTTAAGTAACTGTGTTTAACTTATTCCTAATTATTATTTCAATCATGAAAATTTTAAATTGGATGAAAAGAAAAACATAAAACACATATTTCAGCTACAACCATTACATGTGATATATATTATTAAAGTAACACTGTATGTTTTCAGTCTCACAATTAAAACAGCAGAGATGTAGAAATGACAGCAGAGGTCGCAACACCCACCAAACATAAGTTCAAGGTTATATTTGTAATGAATTTTTTTTACAAAAGCAAATACCATACTAACTGATCCACACAATATCCATACAGTTCTGTCTTTCACTACTCTCATTAAATATGCATACTTTACTCTTTAACATATATATCAATGCCTAATGGTGGAATGATAAATAATAAAAAATATCCTAGAATGTTCTATAACTCTCTCTTTCCATTACATGTATACATTGCACTGGTCATAGACAATGTCAGCGTTAAACAACTGTGTCGTTTGATTCAGAAAACATAAACACCTTTAAATAAAGCATGTTTCAATTCTATTGTCTCATTACTGACCTTTGAAATTTCAGGGAGTCAATTGTCAAAACATCTTAAGTTTGGTACATTTGAAATAAAAAGTACATAATTCTTACATTGACATTGTACTGTACTTGATCTCCAGGTCTCTGGGCATCAAGTTACACAGTTGTATTGAACTTCAGATGTGTATATAATTACTACTGTCTCACTCTTAGTTGTGTTTCCGTTTGTGTTTCTCATAATTTGTTATATTTTATTCAAAATTCACACTTTTTAACTGAATAGATCAGTATGATGTCTAAAATACCAGGCAATCATCCTCTTTAAGCTTTTCCTAACCTCACATCAGTTGCATTGCTAAGGACGTCAATACAAATAAAACGCCACTGAAATCTTTCACTGTCTTGCTAAATAAATTCCGTCAAGTCTTTGGCACACAATTATTCAATCTTTACCGTCCTGATTTAGAATGCTGAATTAACCATTGTAATGTTATATCTGAAAAAAAATGTATGTAAAATTTTACCAGAGTTACATTAAGGGTTGGTAATGAATAGCTTGATGCAATCAAAACGGATTTTGTACAAAATAACATGGAATCTGCAGGTGACAGTTCTAATGTGAAGACAATATGTACCTGCTAGTCATAACAAAGCTATAATAAAGCTACTGCTTGCTAAGATTAAATATTATGAGTCTGCTATGTGTATGTGAATCAAGAATAAATACTTTACCAGATCAACAAGACTTAATACAATAAAATTTTTATCAACAATCATAACTTACATAAGTATTCAATGAAATATACATACCAATATTTTCTTTTTCTTTACATGATATTGAATAACAACATATCTCTCTGTCTTGAATGGCAGACAAATTCCTGGAAACAAAATACAATCAGATCAGACTTAATTCAAGATTGATCATATATATATATATATACATATACATATAAGAATTTTCAGGTGAAGCACAAAACATTACATTCACTTTTGGTTTAAAGGACAATATAAAATTTTAAGGACAATATAAAATTTCAGTTAAGTCTGAAGAAAACAGAAATGAATTATCAGTTGTATCAAAGTCATGATAAAAATAAGTAAATGTGCAGATCATGTAGAATACCAGTTTATATTCTTACATCCGTTCTATAAGCTCCTTTTCATCTAGGGCACCCGACAGATCCCTTTTATTACCCAGAACTAACACTGGAATGCCCTGAAGCTGTGGTTTGTCTAGTAGATGATGAAGTTCATTTCTAGAGGGCTCAATTTTTTCTTGGTCAGCTGCATCCACCATGTATCTGCCAGGAAAAAGAATGGTTTGGGACTATCTCAGTAAAATATCTACAAACAGACAAACTCAAGATTTGTCATATAGGGACCACCCATATAAGTGATTTAACAGTACAAATAATGAAATAATTTTTCTCTAGCACCCACCAGTCATTGATTTTTTTACTTCAGCATTCCTCCAATTTGATATACATTTTACAGAATAGCTCTCATTTACCGGGAACATTATTTTACATTTTTTTTAATTGTCTCCCTTTGTTCAATGAGTTAAAATAGAAACATTGACAATTAAATCAAACACAGACATTTATATTAATATTTGATAGCACAATTTTCAATTCATGATGTAACATCATCGTATTTATTACATCACAACCAATTTCAGCCAATGAAAATTCATCTTAGGTATATTACACAAAGGAGGTATGTGTATAAATATCACATGAGCACACTCACAAATCTAATTTACACTTCATCTTAAGCAGTGCTTTTTTTGCTGTTTTTCACTTAAAAAGATTTTTAACTCCATTTTGAAAGTCATTTTGATAAATTGTCTTTCTGAATTATAATAAATGCAGGCACAAACTACTGTACAATTAATTTTGAAGTTTAAGAAATACTGTATTACATTGTAATTACATTGGTTTGTCTACTTACACAATAGCATTTACTCCTCTGCAATACCTTTCCCACATTGTTCTGAAACGAGGCTGTCCACCAATATCCCACAGCTGGAGTATGAAGAAAAAAGCCAGAAGTTTACTCACCAAAACAAAAGCTTATTAATGAAAAGTATGCATATATAAAATGTATGTACATGGTGTATATAAAAAATGGAGGCCTCCATTTATTATGATACAAATTTATTTTCTACCAATTTCTCAAACATAAAGCACAGTACACAAATGATTTGCTGCAAAAAGTCCTAATATTTTGTTATTCAATATCAAGAAGATAAAGACATCAAGGAAACTCTTTTATTTTCAAAATACCCTCTATAACCATTACTAAATGTATAACTTTAGGCAACATTTCCCTATTAACAATTTAGTATAAGCGACTTAGTCCTAGGTATATTTTTTTTAAATCTATTATCATATACTTTTACACCTTTAATCACAAAATTGTCCTCTGTATACCGAAGATTAAAAGAAATCACTTGTTGAAGGTAAAAAAGTGTACAACTACTGTATATATTTCAACTAAAACTAAAGTATTTCTAACATTTTGACAGTGATATATATATAAATAAAAATGATTTTTGACAAAAGAAGAAAGACGTTACATTTTGCACTAGCTCTTTCACTGTATTAGATCTTCAGGTGCATAGTAACTGTACATAATGGTGAAAGCGCTAGTGCAAAATGTAACGTCTTTCTTCTTTTGTCAAAAATCATTTTTATTTATAATTTACTCGCATCTCGTCAAATCAAGTTTTTTCTATATATATATATATAACTCTTGGTATAGTAACATTTATACAATTGATATATTAATCGTGAAATGATCATGAGCCTTAATAATAATGATAATTCTTGATTTTCTAAGCGTGACATGTTTAGTACAAGTATACTAATCTTCCAAACAGCCCTCCAAAATGATAAATCATACTAACAATTAATCAGGTACCTATATATATATACAATGTTGGCAATTTACTATCTAATATAATATACAACACAATGACACACTCCAATGTTGAGGTGATAGTGTGCACATCTACCTGTTAAATTAACACTAGTATTGATAATGTTATCTTTCATTCCAATGTTTATACCTTGATGGTAACATTGCCTTTGGTTATCTTCCTCATGTTAAAACCTACAGTTGGGATCATATCTTCACTAAACTGGCCAGACTGAAAAAAAGAGACAAAAAGCATGAAAAATTAAATATAGGAACATATTTTCACCAAGTATTTAACCTTGCCACCTTTCAGCAATACATGGTTTGTTAGTAAGAAAGTGATATTTCTCCACACAGATTTTTTCAAGAAAAGACATATTTCATTTTTAAAGTTCCTGAAAAAAAGTAAAGAATAAATATGTGCAAATTTACAAATATTTCCCTTGGCATTGGAAAGAATTTGTTCTTGACGTGAATAGATTGACAATCAGTAACTTAAAACATTTCATTTATCATACTTATTCTTACTTATTCTTTAAACTCTCATTAAAATGATTTAGACTGAAACATAAAATATCTTTTTACTTTTACTGATATTTGTCAGACATCAATTTCTAAGTAATGATATAAAACTCCTAACAGAGAAAACAAATGTCCTCATTGTCTTTCATCATAAATCAGGTGTTGCAGGAATCAATGATGGATACTCAACAGTATTCAATACAGCCCCATCAAGGAAGGTCAATACAGATGACATTGAAGATGGAACATCCACATCTGCATTCCTTAGTCTTATTGTACGTTGACACGTTTTGGCTAGCTAGACTAGTTGTCATTAGAACAACAGTATAAATAAGTATCACATGATACAGAAAGTTGAAATTAAATCACAGTAGAGCCAATTTTTTTAATTTCAGCTATGAAAAAAATCATACTATTGCTCCATCTTCTTTGCCGATTGTATCTAAGTAAAGTTTACTTTTTTAAAATTGCAATAAATCTAAGACTTGAAATGCTGTACAGGACCCCATGCAAAATCCGATACAGCTATATGAGTATGAGAACAATAATATTTTCCTTATGGAAAATCCAAAAAGTGTGAAATAAAACGTAAAAAACATCGTCCTGTTGCTGTTGTTCAAAGCATTCCTTGGAAGGGAAGACTGTTTTGTGAGTCTAATATAAGTCTTATATTGCCCTAATATTCATATATTATTCATATTTATACTGCGAAGCCCATCAAATCAATAAATGCAATGATAATTAAATACAAAATTAAATTACTCATTGAGGTGTTAATTAAGAAAATGTACAGGACATCTTTTTTCCGTCAATCGCCATTGTTCAATTTGTCATAACAATGGATGCTGGATGAAAGTGAATGGGCAATTGACTGAATACAGTACAACAATCGCGGCCAGTTTGCTGATGGTTTTAGGCGATTTTAAGACAAGAACAAGAACGCATATGGAAATGCACCCAGGTTAACACTATAAACAACATAGGACAACATAGAACTGGATAGGGATGGAGGTGGATAATCACAAACTGTCAAACACTCACCGCTATTACATTAACAAATGTAGTCTTCCCCGAATACTGAAGGCCTACCAGCGTAAGCTCCATCTCTTCTTTCCAAAACAGACTTTTAAACCAGTCTAAGATTCTGTGGAAAAACGCGAACATATTTGTGTATTTTCTCCTAGTCTTGTCGTTTTCCTTATTTTCTACGAGGACATACAGACAGACGTATAATCACATGATGTGATATCATCGTTCGTGGTATCTAAATAATACAAATCGGATTCATTAAAAACAAACGAAACAATATTTCAAGTGTATATTTTACGTATATCAAATACTTTGAAACAGCTTAACAGTACAAGAGTTATTGTAAATATAATATGATTAAAATACTCATCTCACTGTTATTAATATTTTTTAAAAATATTTAATTCATCTATTCCGCTTTACGTGCACCCAATTTGCAAAATTATGGTCATGTGTTTGAGCCATAGCAGTCGACAAAAACATTGCACATGACTACTTGACACAGTGCTCGGTGAGGAAATGGAGGCTTTGAAATTATTTTTCTTTTTTCTGATTTTCGTTGGGACAGTGAGTGGCGACACGCCTGCTAATTGCACGTATGAAGATATACGTGGCAAATGGGTGTTTCAAACTGGGCAAGCCGGCAATACTAACAAGGTGGACTGCAAGGAGATGACAGGTGGTACTTTATATTCTCATTTCGAATAGACATTTTATCCCACCATCATCAAATCCTTTCCATACTTGATTTATAAGTTATCTTTGGTCCAGTAGTTATTCTAATTTGAGATTGATGAGAAAAACAAAAATGGCAGCAGTGGTCATATTAGGTAGCAGGAAACAGTTAATTTGCATTTTTCTAAAATTATTGGTCAAGTGTGAGATATACAGGTAAAGCAGTTTGGTTATGAAAAATAAATACATATATTTATAGACTACATAACAAGTACATTAACAGAAGAGAAATAAAAATTGTATGAATAAAAAATTTCCTCTCTTTTCTGATATGTGATTGCAATGGTTTCCAACTCAAAAAATGCTTAAAAGCAAAAATACTACTAATTCCAACCTAACACTACAACTTCATGGAAGAAATCTATTTCTGAACACATGTCTTAAAGTAGCAACACTGTCATGGTAAGAAACTAATCCCATCTCAGCAAATTCCAACTAGGAATGCCTTCACAACATGACCATGTGTAATAATTTCGAAAATTTCATTTCCTGTAAAGCTAGCTTGTGGTGTATAGATACAGATTCAAGACTGGCCAAGCTGTAATCTCCAATACAATGCAAATATATTATTTGGAAAAATATGAAACCCCACATTTTCCACTTCAACATGACATGACAAATTTTAGCTAGGATTTATTTTTAAAATTTTAAAACCTTTATACTGGGGTAATCTAATAAGCAGAGATAACACCCATCGCCACACTGAGAAACTGTACTGCTACCTTGGATTTTGATGGTTTGTTATTGCTATTTCATGAGGATTTCCAATAAAGTGGATGACTAATTATTTTTTATTTTGATTTTTCCACAGTTTCTTATACATCAGTTCTCAGAGTATCCATTTGTACCCTTTTCATTTTGTGACTGATTAAAAAAATGGCTGCCAGGCGACCATCTTGGATTTGGCAGCTAAAGATTATTATCACTATTGCTGTAAAGGAAAGTTTAAATTTGTTATCATTAAGAGCTAATACAGAGGAGAGAAAAGAAGGGAAAAGATACAAGTCCTACCAGTTGAAACATATTACAAAACCTGGCATACATTTACCTTACAGTTTTCAATTTATAGTATGTGTAAATAAAGCATGAAATGAAAGATCAAGGTATCTATTAGTGAAGTATCAAGAAAAAATTTGATTTGAACACTCCGTAGAAAAACGTTGCAATTTTCTTCAAAATGTATATCAACTTGGGTAGCATCACATTATAATTGATTGCACCTGATGGATTGTTCTTCAAATTGATGATATGAGAATCTGAATGACAAGGAATAGATACAAATTGTTGACAAAACTTTTTTTGTGGTTTTAGATGTGGTATCCACTTTCAGTGTAGAGTTGCTGTACCCTGACGTGGCAGTTGATGAGTTTGGGAATAAAGGATTTTGGACTTTAATTTATAACCAGGTTTGTTGCATTATTGTGTGATTAATAAGTTTATAGATCTAATAACCATCAGTTTGTTCTAGGATTCAATGTCAAAGACACTGATTTACAAGAGATCAATTTTTATACAATTATTTTGTCATTTATTTTGAATCAGTTTCATTGAAGTACCCCTTAAGCTTGGTACAAATTTATTTGCAAGTTTAATACACATGACTACCACTGAACACCATGATTTTGTTGGTTTTGCTCAAAACTGAAGGAATACATTAATGAAATTTTGAAAGCACTAGCTTTCTAAATAGTTAAAATTTGAAAACCCCATTTTATTTGCACACTTAAGATTAAGTTGTGTCAAACACACAAACTTCATCAATGAATTATCTCCTTTGATTTCATTTGTTCCCACAGGGTTTCGAAGTTGTGATCAGAAACAGGAAGTATTTTGCATTTTCAAGTTATAAACAGGATGGTAAAAATGTTACCAGTTACTGTGATCAAACATTACCAGGTTGGTCACATGACACTTATGACAGAAGCTGGGCATGCTACAAAGGGAAGAAGACTAAAGCCGTTAGACCTAAATATCACACCATACTACCTCAAAAGTAAGTTACAGTAGAGAGACAGATATATCACACTATACTACCTCAAAAGTAAGTTACAGTAGAGAGACAGAGAGAGATATAACACCATACTACCTCAAAAGTAAGTTACAGTAGAGAGACCGAGAGAGATATAACACCATACTACCTTAAAAGTAAGTTACAGTAGAGAGACCGAGAGAGATATAACACCATACTACCTTAAAAGTAAGTTACAGTAGAGAGACCGAGAGAGATATATCACACCATACTACCTCAAAAGTAAGTTACAGTAGAGAGACAGAGAGGTATATCACACCATACTACCTCAAAAGTAAGTTACAGTAGAGAGACAGAGAGGTATATCACACCATACTACCTCAAAAGTAAGTTACAGTAGAGAAACAGAGAGATATATCACACCATACTACCTCAAAAGTAAGTTACAGTAGAGAAACAGAGAGATATATCACACCATACTACCTCAAAAGTAAGTTACAGTAGAGAGACAGAGAGGTATATCACACTTTATTTTGAAACCTGGATTAATGCCATATTGATTTCTTTAAAGTCAACTAAATTGTATGCGATATGTTGCTCCATTTTGAGTTTTGTTATAGCAGTTTGTGAATTGAATTGAATATTACTTGCTGTACTTAAAAGTTATGCCTGTCATGATAAATCAAAAAGGAAAATATTCATGCCTTTAAATTTTCATTGTTTTTGTACAATGTATAAATTTAATTTCTTAAAGTTCAGTATGAAAATGTTGTTTTTATGAATATTATTGTAAACTGTCGAGTATCATAAGTCATCTCTATTACAGACAGGTGAATAGTCAATACTATACAACAGACCATGAAATGTTACACAATATCAACACTAAACAGGGCTCATGGAAGGCCCAAGCATACCCACATTTTGAAAAAATGACCATGGATGAAATTATCAAAGTTGCTGGTGGGAGAAAATCTAGAATTTATGGGTAAGTGTCCCTATCATGCGTCATTTATTTTCTGCAACACATGAAGTTGTTCTCCTTTAAGTTTTGGTACAGTGTATCTCAATATTTCTTCTCTTGGCAAGTTCATGGTATACTGGATTTTTTTGTCGCCTGCAGAGCTGGCATACACTTAGGGATCACTTTGTCCGTCGTCACCCGTCGTTGTCATCAGTTTTTCAGACTTTTTTTGGTAATGCTTTAAGTTATCTGAATGAAACTTGGCATATGGTTTCTTGTTGCAAGGGTACAGATTAAGTTCGATTCCTGGCTGTCTGTGACCCTTCTTGACAGTGATATGTCCATTTGAACTTTGAAAATTTCTGAGGAATATTGCTTTGCGCAGTTTTCCCTTTATGCTTCAAATTATAGAAATGAAATTTGGTATTACAACTTTATGGTTGATTGTTGCACATCCAGTTCAATTTCTGAGTGACCGTGACACTTTATGCAGGCGACACATACAGTTCCAAAACACTCTTGTTAAAATTAATACATTTGTATCCAACTTCATTCAACAGATGGAATAATTAAATCACATAGAATGTACCCTACAATCATTAAAATGTCATACTTTTAGGCTTATAACCACACCAGTATATTAAAGGGTATGTAACAGCAACATCAAATTTAATCAGATTTTTTGTCTTGATCATGCAGTCAAGTGCAGATCACAGTCAAACATATTGAAGAAAAATATTTGTGTTCAATTACTTCTATCTCATGAACATGATGATTTTTTTAACTGTAATTATGTTTATTTTCGAAGGCAAGCAAGAGCTGTTCAGCCTACGAAGGAGGAGGTTCTAAGCACTCTCAATCTTCCAGAAGCATTCGATTGGAGAAATCACATGGGACAAGACTTTGTTTCTCCCATCAGAAACCAAGGTATGCTATCAAATCAGAGTCTGATTGGTGATATTGATAGAATCATAGTACAGAGCTACATAAAAAAAAAAATCCAAATTTTCTAAACAAGGGGAGATAACTCTTTTTTATCAATTAGCTTCATATTGTAATAAAAGCAATATTATTAAAACTTGTATTCATTGATGCTATATAACTTTACAGAATCCTGTGGGAGTTGCTATGCCTTTTCTTCCATGGGGATGCATGAGGCCCGTGTACGTGTGATCACAAACAACACACAACAGCCTGTATTATCCCCACAAGATATTGTGGACTGCAGTGAATATTCACAAGGTATATTTTCACCTACATGGCATTATTGTTTCTGAATTCATTTTGATTGATTTAGTAAACTTGAGAGAAATCAATGTTTTGTATTCATACAGCCGTGTTATAAATATCATGAGACACTCATGAATTAATACTCATGTGATGTCAAAAATATATCACATCTTGATGACATAACATAATAGTTACAATAGTGAAAAACAAACCATCCAGGTTGAAATAAGTGATGAGAGAGTTTTCACTTATTTTTTCCGGTATATGGGTTTTATGATAAACAAACAGGTTTAATTAGTAATATTTCAAACATGTTTCATAATTTCATAATTATTATGAGTACCTAGTGACATATTAAATTATTGAGGTAGCTAAATAAATACTATTTTACATAGACACTCATTCAAGATACTCTCTGTCTTAATTACATTGTATTTATACAAAAAAAACTTTCTATATGGTTTCAAAGTGTTCCACTGTTTATATATTGGATAAAATACTTTTGTTTCTAAACTGAAGATGGGAAGATGTTTACCTTATTAATTTGAAACATCCTGATTTTACTGTAGTTTAGGCTGTAGACTGATTTCCTGACTCAAATTTTTCATTAAGGCTGTGAGGGTGGATTTCCTTACCTGATAGCGGGGAAGTATGCTGAAGATTTCGGCATTGTCCTAGAGTCGTGTAATCCTTATAATGGGAAGGACTCGACCGTATGTCACAGCAAGTCCTCATGTGGCCGAATGTATGCAACAGACTACCACTATGTTGGGGGATATTATGGAGCGTAAGTGTAAAATCTCTTTTAGTGCAGTGATGTCTTCCTCTGCTTAACATTGAATTTAAACCATTTTTTATTGTACATCACTTGTAACTTTTATATACAAGTATATAAGAACAGTAAATTCTGACATATTACAAGTATAATCATTAGGTACATGCAAATTTGATCTATATTGCAGGTATAAACATTAGGAATGTCTGACCTATATTACAAGTATAAACATTAGGAATGTCTGACCTATATTACAGGTGTAAACATTAGGAATGTCTGACCTATATTACAGGTGTAACTATTAGGAATGTCTGACCTATATTACAGGTGTTACCATTTGGAATATCTCACTTATATTACAGGTATAAACATTAAGAATGTCTGACCTATTTTACAGGTGTAACCATTAGGAATGTCTGACCTATTTTACAGGTGTAACCATTAGGAATGTCGGACCTATATTACAGGTATAACCATTAGGAATGTCTGACCTATTTTACAGGTATAAACATTAAGAATGTCTGACCTATTTTACAGGTGTAACCATTAGGAATGTCTGACCTATTTTACAGGTGTAACCATTAGGAATGTCTGACCTATTTTACAGGTGTAACCATTAGGAATGTCTGACCTATATTTCAGGTATAACCATTAGGAATGTCTGACCTATATTACAGGTATAAACATTAAGAATGTCTGACCTATTTTACAGGTGTAACCATTAGGAATGTCTGACCTATATTACAGGTGTAACCATTAGGAATGTCTGACCTCTGACCTATATTACAGGTGTGAACATTAGGAATGTCAGACCTATATTACAGGTGTAACCATTAGGAATGTCCGACCTATTTTACAGGTGTAACCATTAGGAATGTCTAACCTATTTTACAGGTGTAACCATTAGGAATGTCTGACCTCTGACCTATATTACAGGTGTGAACATTAGGAATGTCAGACCTATATTACAGGTGTAACCATTAGGAATGTCTGACCTATATTACAGGTGTAACCATTAGGAATGTCTGACCTATTTTACAGGTGTAACCATTAGGAATGTCTGACCTATTTTACAGGTGTAACCATTAGGAATGTCTGACCTATATTACAGGTATAACCATTAGGAATGTCTGACCTATATTGCAGGTATAACCATTAGGAATATCTGACCTATATTACAAGTTTAACCATTAGGAATGTCGGACCTATATTACAGGTATAACCATTAGGAATTTCTGACCTATATTACAGGTGTAACCATTAGGAATGTCGGACCTATATTACAGGTATAAACATTAAGAATGTCTAACCTATTTTACAGGTGTAACCATTAGGAATGTCTGACCTCTGACCTATATTACAGGTGTGAACATTAGGAATGTCTGACCTATAATACAGGTGTAACCATTAGGAATGTCCGACCTATTTTACAGGTGTAACCATTAGGAATGTCTGACCTATATTACAGGTGTAACCATTAGGAATGTCTGACCTATATTACAGGTATAAACATTAGGAATATCTGACCTATATTACAGGTATAACCATTAGGAATGTCTGACCTATATTACAGGTGTGAACATTAGGAATGTCTGACCTATATTACAGGTATAACCATTAGGAATGTCTGACCTATATTACAGGTGTGAACATTAGGAATGTCTGACCTATATTACAGGTATAACCATTAGGAATGTCGGACCTATATTACAGGTATAACCATTAGGAATGTCTGACCTATATTACAGATGTAACCAGTATGCCATGATGACAGCCCTTGTAAGCAATGGACCAATGTCAGTGTCATTTATGGTGTACAGTGACTTCCTACACTACAAGAGTGGAGTGTACCATTACACACAGCTAGAGAATCGCTTTAACCCATTTGAGATTACAAATCATGCAGTGTTGCTAGTCGGATATGGCCAGGTGGAGGAGACAGGTGAGAAGTACTGGATTGTGAAGAACAGCTGGGGTACAGGCTGGGGAGAAGATGGGTACTTTAGGATCAGGAGAGGACATGATGAATGTGCCATTGAGAGTATAGCTGTAGAGTCCACACCCATTGTTTAGAATGCACTTTGGGACAGAATCGTCTCTCAATTGATGACTTTTCAGTTATCACCAATGTTATGAGAAAGAGTTGTCTCCCATTGTGCAATGTCTCCTTTTTTAAACCATAGTATTTGATATTTATTCAGATTTCTTTGAAAGATCAAATATTGAGACAGTCATTTTAATATATTACAGTGAAACCTCACCTAATGACTTCCTCAAAATTACAACCACCCGGCTATTACAGGCACTTTCTTTCAGTCTGGTTTTTTTCACTGTAAATCTTTGTATTGGTCACTTCAGTATTACAACCACCCCTCTGTTCTGTATTACGACCACTTCTTACAGTCTCAATGACCACTAATTAAAGATAATTGACCTCACAATTAAGCTCTGACCAGTGATTAAAGTTTACCTGGTGGGCAGTGAACCGCCAGCATTTGTGTCAATCTCGACCATGGTTTCCATCACAGGTTACCAACCCTGTCACCAGGTGGCGTTACATGAAGTAAACATCATTATCGGATTTACTTGGCCTTGAATAATATACATTACTTATTGATTTATATACAGTTTTTATTATAAACAGAGTTATGGTTCTTGGCGGTCAATCTGATCCACCGCACTATTAAGACCACCTCGCTATTAAGACCGCTTTTTGTCCAGTCCCCAAAGTGGTCTTAATAGCAAGGTTTCACTGTAGTTTGAATAACTGAATTCTGCAAAAAGCACTTTAAAAGTAATTAATGTATGATCCATCGTTTTCATATAAGATTTTAGAATAAAAATAGCTCAGATGAATGTAAACTTGCTTTGTTGAACAATTTTGTGAAAATAGAACCATAATAACAAGATTGTTTTTATTGTCTGCTCCTGAATAGTATAATCAAACTCTGGATGTCTGTTCTTACTGTGATCAACTGTTACTAAATGTTTACCCACAATGTCACAGGATTAGTGTTATTCTCCTGTAAGTACACAACTCTACACATTGTGTATTAACGTTTCTTCGCTAAAAGTGTCCTATAGAGTTCTACACATGTTTATGCTGGTACACATATCTGTATTGTAACAGAGCCTCATGGCCTCGTTAACTAGTGGTTTTTCATTTTTTTTTTTTTTTTTTTGAGAATTTTTCTGGTCATTGTTCTTTCTTTTCTGATGATATACAGTACCACATGTGTACAGAATCACACAGCCCTTACTATTGTTTGTGAATATTCCTATATACTGCTTGTTGATTCCTCTTTTGGTTATTTCAAATACAGTATATTATGAAAATCTGGACATGCGCAGAAAAAAAAATCTAGACACCGTATTCCACAAATGATTTCTCAACTAACTTGCAATTGATATGTGATGCTAAATCTGAGAGAGTAATATTGGAAAAGGTCCCACAGATGTAAATATTAGATATTTTTGTGACTTTGAAACATACACTTGTAAAGTCAAGCTCAAGTTGAACTTAAACATAAACTTCAACAAATTTCTATTTTTGAAGAAAAAAATTCCACCCAGTATTATGATTAGTTTTACTTTTTTCACTCTCCCATATGATAGAGGTTGTATAATAAGTAGAATCAGTGATGGCTGATCAACACAAAAGTACAGTCTTTAGATAGTAAATTCTACAATATTTTACTACTGATATTTACAAAAGCCTTCTTATATAGTTATTTTTGGTATTCTCTTTACAACCAAGTAGGTCAATAATTAATTTTTGAAAGTTAAACTGGAACAAAAATAATTGTTTTTTCTTTTCACTTTGTACATTTTAATTGAAATCTAAACAATTTATTTTTGTCAATAAAATCATTATATATTTCTTTGTTGTATTTATGTTATATCTTTTGAATAATCTATTAATAATGTCTATTTTCAGTCATGGGAATATTTTGCAATATTACTGGTACATTGCACTATATGACTCTAAACAACGTGACCTGTTGTCTAAAAGTGTATGACTATAAGCCACGTGACCTGCTGTCTACAAGTGTATGACTATAAACCACGTGACCTGTGTTAAAAAGGGTATGACTATAAACCACGTAACATGCTGTCTACAAGTGTATGACTATAAACCACGTGACCTGCTGTCTACAAGTGTATGACTATAAACCACGTGACATGCTCTCTTCAAGCGTATGACTATTAACCACGTGACTTGCTGTCTACAAAGATATGACTATAGACCACGTGACCTGCTGTCTACAAGTGTATGACTATAAACGACCTGACCTGCTGTCTACAAGGGTATGACTATAAACCACGTGACCTGTTGTCTACAGGGGTTTGAAAGCCATAGACATTTTGCAAAGCAGATCAGTGTATTCGTTGTGTGATCGAAAGGTTAGCAGATGGGACACATAATCGTAGTTTTCGCACCAGCAACTAACAATAGACCGGCGGACGGGACTTTAAACGATGGCCTGTGTAAGAATTGTCCAACCTAGCTCGAAAAAGATCCTCCTGCGGTTATCGATAATAAGAATAGGCGCTTAAACTGTTAGGACATCTAAATTTCCCCTGATCTAAAAGTTAGTAATCATAAAAGGACCGTCTGGTGATTGGGCTGGACATAGAAGACAATGACCCCCTCCACCACCGGAAGTCCAGACACAGCGCAACAAGATCAACCATTAGACCAGGGAGTCGTCTCCAAATTACAGACCAGCCAATCCCCAGACGACTCCCAACTTCAGGAGGGGAGCACCACCTCACGTCGCCAGAGAATCGACTCTTGTCGATAGGACAATACCCGGTAACATCATCATTACAAGGGTATGACAATAACCCACGTGACCTGCTGTCTACAAGGGTATGACTGTACAACACGTGACGTGTTGTCCACAAGGCTATGACTTTAAACAATGTGACCTGAAGTTCATTATACAAGGAAGTGAATTGTGAGATATATCTGGTTAAACGGAAATCAATTTTCCTTGTTTTACAAGCTTTCACCAGTACAGTTAATTTCCGTCAACAGGTTTACTTTGGTCAAGATGCTTAATAGTCAGTAGTCTATGACGAAGGGTTTAATGTTCAAAATTCGGATTAGGTATAATGTTACTATCACAAAGGTCGTATCCTGATGTATATATACACAAATGTACCTTCCTTGTCTACACTTCAGATGTAAGCCCCAAACTGTATACTTTCAATGAAGAATGTACCATGTATGTATACTTTAGTAGACTGACATGACTGGAGAAACGTGACACTGTTAGCTAACAAAATAACTCTTTTTGGTGACTTATATTTCATCTCGTACTCAACAGAGAAATACGGTAATCTTCTTAAAACATAAAAAAAAAGCACGCAATACGAAAATTTTAAATCGACAAATGTGGAGTGTATGCAGGTTGTACAGTGTGGGTTTACTGTGAATACTTATGATAATCCTAACGTCCCAGTAACACACTAGTACGCCAGGCTATTTGTACAAGTGATTATAGTTAATAATACACAATCGTATTATACTTTAGTATTGTTCACACTCAGGTTTGTAAGTTCTTTCGTTTTAGGCAAGGCCAGACTATTTATGTGTTACAAATAACCCTGATTTGAGCTTTGAATGTGAATTTCCGATAAAAGGAGTCCTTCACGGTACCGCGGTTATTTTGATATTACATATGTTTTCAAAACGTGCACAATTGAGGAAAATGCCAGTGTAAACATTATCATTTACTTTTATAATGTCAAAGATGCTTTAAACCCTACAGATAATACTCGTAAAGAATTACCATTTTCACTAATTACCACATTCATTAATCTGGATGAAGAAGGGATTCGATACTGATATGGAATCTAGTTTGTAGAAACAGACATGACAGTCTAGAAAGTTTTGTATTTGATCTCATTAACTGTCGAAACATTTGTTTAAATTGTACATTATTCAAATGTGCAACTGGAATTTGTTTACCAAATACAGAAATAAGACAACTATGCTATGATATATATCACGGTGAAAGGATGACAACACTCGATAAACATGTACTTGTCTATTCACAGCATCGACATTTCAAAACGCGTGACACTAGAAACATCGAATTAGTATGGCATTGCCGAGATACCATAATATAGAGTTCCTGAACAGTACCGTGGTTCACAACTTTATCGTACAATGGACACGATTTCTCCGTAAAGATGTGGATGAATCCCCGTCAGAATCCGCGGGCTTTACCAAGTCTATCTGGGTACCATTTCCAGGGATACATCGGCGATATCCGGAGCCTTGCCAGGAAAACATTACCAAGAAACCCGCCTACTAATCTACTGGGTTTCTTTGACGGTTCTGTGACTTCTGTAGAATGCTCGGAACTGACATTATCTCCTGCTAATTTGCTTCAGAACTCTAAATACCCCCGAACCATTCCCGGAGGATTTAGACATGATGACGAAGGACATGACCTCGAAGTTCTTCGTGATGGATCAGAACGATCTGCGTTTCAGTATTTCCCACTTTCGGCCAGACTTGCTCTGCATGATATTGGACCTCCTCCCGCGGAACAATCAGAGCGAAAGTGTACGAAAACTAAAATGATTTTTGGAATCTCTCTTTACTTAGCTGTAATCGTCCTTGTTCTCATCATCACAGTAGCCATCCTGGCATCGTCATTGTCAGCCTTCAGCGGGGTAGGTACTCAGATAAAATGCCGTGTAAACATGTATACAGACTGTAAATTTAATCATACAATGTATTAATAATACAATGAACTTTTTGAAGTATACAGTGTACTGATAACACTATACAATGCGCTAATTACACTATACAATGCGCTAATTACACTATACAATGTACTAATTACACTATACAATGTACTAATTACACTATACAATGTGCTAATTACACTATACAATGTACTAATTACACTATACAATGTACTAATTACACTATACAATGTACTAATTACACTATACAATGTACTAATTACACTATACAATGTACTAATTACACTATACAATGTACTAATTTCACTATACAATTTTAGGGTACACTATACAATGTCTAATTACACTATACAATGTACTAATTACACTATACAATGTACTAATTTCACTATACAATTTTAGGGTACACTATACAATGTACTAATTACACTATACAATGTTCTAATTACACTATACAATGTACTAATTACACTATACAATGTACTAATTACACTATACAATGTACTAATTACACTATACAATGTTCTAATTACACTATACACTTTTAGGGTACACTATACAATGTACTAATTACACTATACACTTTTAGGGTACACTATACAATGTTCTAATTACACTATACACTTTTAGGGTACACTATACAATGTACTAATTACACTATACAATGTTCTAATTACACTATACAATGTACTAATTACACTATACAATGTACTAATTACACTATACAATGTTCTAATCACACTATACAATTTTAGGGTACACTATACAATGTTCTAATTACACTATACAATGTACTAATTACACTATACAATGTACTAATTACACTATACAATGTTCTAATCACACTATACACTTTTAGGGAACACTATACAATGTTCTAATTACACTATACACTTTTAGGGTACACTATACAATGTACTAATTACACTATACACTTTTAGGGTACACTATACAATGTGTAGATAACACTTTATTGTGTGTCATTTACAAAGGTCATTTTTTTAGAAAATATTTTTGCTCAGATGAACTTTTCTATTTTCCAAGCCAGCCTCAGCTGTAAGTGCAATAACCGACAGTACATCTGGTGATCTTCCATCATCTACCTCGACCACCGCCGGTCTGCCCAGCTCACACAACACTGCCTCCCCATCAATAACTCGTTCACCAGATATCCCCCATCACTCTTCATCAAAGGCTAGTGAAATTAAAAGTGAACAGACTACAGTCATTGCTTTACTCACGTCACTGAAGATAACAACGACGATAAACCATCTAACAACAGTAAATCAGATGACAATAGAAACACAAAAACCGATGACAACGTCAAGAAATTCACCAGGAACTGAAGCGACTAAATCCCGCACAACGGAAACATCAACTGCCAAACCCAATACGACAACCAAACTAGTGACAAGCATCAAATCAGCGAAACCGAAAACATCAACGACCGCCATTACCAAGCCAACGATAAAAACAACAACAGCCAAACCAACTAGAACTGACGAATTATCGACAACAACCAAACTGGGCACTTCCACCAAACCAGTAACAATAAAAAAATCAACTGCTACCACCAAACCAACAACCAAACCGACCACTACCACCAAACCAACAACCAAACTGACCACTACTACCAAACCGACCACTACAACCAAACCGACCACTACTACCAAACCGACCACTACAACCAAACCGACCACTACTACCAAACCAACAACCAAACTGACCACTACTACCAAACCGACCACTACAACCAAACCGACCACGACCACCAAACCGACCACTACAACCAAACCGAGCACTACAACCAAACCGACCACGACCACCAAACCGACCACTACTACCAAACCGACCACTACCACCAAACCAACAACCAAACCGACCACTACCACCAAACCAACAACCAAACCGACCACTAAAACCAAACCGACCACTACTACCAAACCAGTCATTACTACCAAAATGACAATGACAACCAGCCCAACCAATACTACCAAACAAGCAAGCAAACAAACAACGACAGCTAGAAGAACGGCTACTACTATACAACCAAAAACGACAACTGGACCAAACACAACAACGAAACAAATAACAGTTTCAAAACCAAAACCTGTTACAGAAGCGATGACGACGACAGAAAGAACGACAACGACTAAACAAACGATGATTACCAAATCATCTACTGTAGCAGCGACGATAGAACCCACCACATTGATACCGTCTGTCACGAACCCTGTGTACCAGACATCCTCGGTAGAGGCCACTACTGTGGTACCTGTGTGTGAGACCAACCAGTGTTTCTCTGTTGGGTACGAGATGTGGTCCATGATAGACACGGACATTAACCCGTGCGAAGACTTCTACACCTTCGCGTGTGGCCAATGGATTCGTTCCCGAGAGGACATGATCAGTGAAGGCTTTGTTGACACTACAGACACAACTTATGCTAGCTCCATAGATCGTAACAGTCTGTATCCCAAGCTTCAACGTGAGTGATTTTGTTTACTTTTTATGTAGATGCTCCTTGCTCTCTGTTTATTCCCGGCTCCTTTTCCAACTGCGAAGCAGAAAACATGTTTAAACTACTTGTTCGTGGCAATGTAATCTAATTTTTTACCATTAAGGGTCACTACTGGTTTTGTTTGTTTATTTTTGGTTTTGTTTTTGTTTTCTTTCTTTCTTTTCTACTAATTGATCACGTGCCCTTGTCTTGATTGATATGATAATAAAGGGGTTCGTAAAGTGTGCCCCTGTACTTGTCCTGTGTAACCAAGATGCCATCTATCTGATTCCTTGAACAGTTTTAATTCGAAGCTGATCATCTTGATTTAAAGGTTTGCTTGAGGACCCGTTGAATCCCTCGATAGACAGCGTCTTTGCGAGGGTAACGAAACAACTCCACAAGACATGCCTAGCTTCAACCAGCGCTACAAATGATATAGGTAAGCACTTGATCAGGTAAACATGACGATGTAGGTAGCCTGATAACGCTCACTATTGATAAAGGCTCTCGGGTAACTGTCTCTAACGATATAGGTGGTTAGAGAACGCACAATATAGCCAGTTAGGTAACATTCACTTTAGATGTAACCAGGTAAAACTCATTAAAGTTATAGGTAGCCAGGTTACTGTCAATAACAATGAAAGTAACCAGGAAACGCTCACTAACGATATATGTAGTCAGATAACTGTCTATAACGATGGAAAGTAACGCTCACTGACGATACATGTAGCCAGGTAACTGTCTATAACGATAGAAAGTAACCAGGTAACGCTCACTAACGATATATGTAGTCAGATACCTGTCTATAACGATGGAAAGTAACGCTCACTGACGATATATGTAGCCAGGTAACAGTCTATAACGAATGAAGTAACCCGGTAACGCTCACTAACGATATATGTAGCCAGGTAACTGTATATAACGATGGAAAGTAACCAGGTAACGCTCACTAATGATATATGTAGTCAGGTAACAGTCTATAACGATGGAAAGTAACTCTCACTGACGATATATGTAGCCAAGTAACTGTCTATAACGATGGCAGTAACTAGGTAACGCTCACTAACGATATACGTAGCCCGGTAACTGTCTATAACGAATGAAGTAACCCGGTAACGCTCACTAACGATATATGTAGCCAGGTAACTGTCTATAACGATGGAAAGTAACCAGGTAACGCTCATTAATGATATATGTACCCAGATAACTGTCTATAACGATGCAAGTAACCAGGTAACGCTCACTGACGATATACGTAGCCAGGTAATTGTCTATAACGATGGAAAGTAACGCTCACTGACGATATATGTAGTCAGGTAACTGTCTATAACGATGGAAAGTAACGCTCACTGACGATATACATGTACCCTGGTAACAGTCTATAACGATGGAAAGTAACTCTCACTGACGATATATATAGCCTGATAAGTGTCTATAACGATGGAAAGTAACTCTCACTAATGATATATGTAGTCAGGTAAATGTCTATAACGATGGAAGTAACTAGGTAGTGCTCACTGACGATATATGTAGCCAGGAAACTGTCTATATCTATGGAATTAACCAGGTAGAGCTCACTAACGATATATGTAGCCAGGTATTTGTATATAACGTTGGAAGTAACCCGGTAACGCTCACTAACGATATATGTAGCCAGGTAACTGTCTATAACGTTGGAAGTAACCAGGTAACGCTCACTAACGATATATGTAGCCAGGTAACTGTCTATAACGTTGGAAGTAACCAGGTAACGCCCACTAACGATATATATAGCCAGTTAAGTGTCTATAACGATGGAAAGTAACTCTCACTAATGATATATGTAGTCAGGTAAATGTCTATAACGATGGAAAGTAACTCTCACTAATGATATATGTAGCCAGGTAACTGTCTATAACGATGGAAGTAACTAGGTAGTGCTCACTTACGAGATATGTAGTCAGGTAACTGTCTATAACGATGGAAAGTAACCAGGTAGCGCTCACTAATGATATATGTAGCCAGGTAACTGTCTATAACGATGGAAGTAACTAGGTAGTGCTCACTGACGAGATATGTAGTCAGGTAACTGTCTATAACGATGGCAGTAACTAGGTAGTTCTCACTGACGATATATGTAGCCAGGTAACTGTCTATAACGATGGAAGTAACCAGGTAACGCTCACTAACGATATATATAGCCAGGTAACTGTCTATAACGTTGGAAGTAACGAGGTAACGCCCACTAGCGATATATATAGCCAGGTAACTGTCTATAACGTTGGAAGTAACGAGGTAACGCCCACTAACGATATATATAGCCAGGTAACTGTCTATAACGTTGGAAGTAACCAGGTAACGCTTATTATAAGATTATAAGAATTATCAATAAGAAGAGGTAAATATTAGCATCATTGCTTACAAATATATCTTTATTTAAAATCAAAATACCTGCAGGTATTTCAAAATCGGACCACTGAATCACGAAGTATGTTCCTGTTTGAATAACTACATGTTGACAGCATTAACGCCTGAACGACTTCAGTAACATATTTGTCATGTGAAACATTGTTTACGGAAGTAAATAAGATCTTTCGTGGGAAAGAGGGGGTTTCCAATTAACAGTCCCCTTTGAAAGCTTTCCCCTGGTTTAACTGCGGTAATTGTGATTGTGTGACGTTTTAACGTTACATGGCCTGTTATAGTTATGAGAACCTTAGTCACACCCAATACATAGAGTAGTGTAATGTTTAACAGATAAACATGATTGTTACGTTTTCTCATCCTCTAACAAATCCCTGTAACCAGGTCCTCTAACAAATCTGTGTAACCAGGTCCTCTAACAAATCCCTGTAACCAGGTCCTCTAACAAATCCCTGTAACCAGGTCCTCTAACAAATCCCTGTAACTAGGTCCTCTAACAAATCCCTGTAACTAGGTCCTCTAACAAATCTCTATAACCAGGTCCTCTAACAAATCTGTGTAACCAGGTCCTCTAACAAATCTGTGTAACCAGGTCCTCTAACAAATCTGTGTAACCAGGTCCTCTAACAAATCTGTGTAACCAGGTCCTCTAACAAATCTGTGTAACCAGGTCCTCTAACAAATCTGTGTAACCAGGTCCTCTAACAAATCTGTGTAACCAGGTCCTCTAACAAATCTGTGTAACCAGGTCCTCTAACAAATCTGTGTAACCAGGTCCTCTAACAAATCTGTGTAACCAGGTCCTCTAACAAATCTGTGTAACCAGGTCCTCTAACAAATCTGTGTAACCAGGTCCTCTAACAAATCTGTGTAACCAGGTCCTCTAACAAATCTGTGTAACCAGGTCCTCTAACAAATCCCTATAACCATGTCCTCTAACAAATCTGTGTAACCAGGTCCTCTAACAAATCTGTGTAACCAGGTCCTCTAACAAATCCCTATAACCAGGTCCTCTAACAAATCTGTGTAACCAGGTCCTCTAACAAATCTCTGTAACCAGGTCCTCTAACAAATCTGTGTAACCAGGTCCTCTAACAAATCTGTGTAACCAGGTCCTCTAACAAATCCGTGTAACCAGGTCCTCTAACAAATCCCTATAACCAGGTCTTCTAACAAATCTGTGTAACCAGGTCCTCTAACAAATCCCTATAACCAGGTCCTCTAACAAATCTGTGTAACCAGGTCCTCTAACAAATCCCTATAACCAGGTCATCTAACAAATCTGTGTAACCAGGTCCTCTAACAAATCTGTGTAACCAGGTCCTCTAACAAATCCCTGTAACCAGGTCCTCTAACAAATCTGTGTAACCAGGTCCTCTAACAAATCCCTATAACCAGGTCCTCTAACAAATTTCTGTAACCAGGTCCTCTTACAAACTCCTCTAACAACTTCCTTTAACAAGATCCTCTAATAGATACCTTCAACCAGGTCCTTTAACAAATTCCTCTAATAAGATCCTTTAATGCAGTTATCCTATAAGGTTTGATAATCTTGTTCTTTGACAAATCCCTATAACCAGGTCCTTTCATTACTGAGTCTTTTCACCAGGTCCGCTAACGCTATTGATTACCAGGTCTAGGAACCTTCTGCATATGAGTACAATCTAGTTCGAAAGTTTATTCGTGTACTTGACATATAAGTAACATGTATGTACCAATTTACACGTAATGATAAAAGGAACCACTGTATACAGGATTTTCCCATACTTTTCTACAGCACTAACTGAGCTCCACACGATCCTCGATCCCTTGGGTATAGACGAAAGCCTTCAGACCCCTCTCAGTCTAGAGAGTTTACAAAGATCAGCTGTGACGTCATTTGGTGTTGGTGCGCTGTTCGATGCATCTCTACAGCAAACAGAAATTGATGGAGTGAATACATATGTTTTACAGGTATGTCAGTGGTACATGGAACAAGAACGTCACGAATTACGTCATATTCGTGATAAGCTATACAGATACGTCACATAATACATACACAAACAGACACCATACAATGTCATACAACATTTACAGGTTATACATACAAATATGATAATATATGACTAGATACATTTCTGATTTACAACTATACTTACTCCCTGTACTCACTGTAACGTAACGTAAAATTCGTACTCACTGTTACGTAAAACTTGTACTCACTGTAACGTAAAATTCGTACTCACTGTAACGTAACGTTAAACTCGTACTCATTGTAACATAAAACTCGTACTCACTGTAACGTAAAACTCGTACTCACTGTAACGTAAAACTCGTACTCACTGTAACGTAAAACTCGTACTCACTGTAACGTAAAACTCGTACTCACTGTAACGTAAAACTCGTACTCACTGTAACGTAAAACTCGTACTCACTGTAACGTAAAACTCGTACTCACTGTAACGAAATGTAAAACTCGTACTCACTGTAACGTAACGTAAAACTCGTACTCACTGTAACGAAATGTAAAACTCGTACTCACTGTAACATAAAACTCGTACTCACTGTAACGTAAAACTCGTACTCACTGTAACGTAAAACTCGTACTCACTGTAACGTAAAACTCGTACTCACTGTAACATAAAACTCGTACTCACTGTAACATAAAACTCGTACTCACTGTAACGTAAAACTCGTACTCACTGTAACATAAAACTCGTACTCACTGTAACATAAAACTCGTACTCACTGTAACATAAAACTCGTACTCACTGTAACATAAAACTCGTACTCACTGTAACGAAATGTAAAACTCGTACTCACTGTAACATAAAACTCGTACTCACTGTAACATAAAACTCGTACTCACTGTAACATAAAACTCGTACTCACTGTAACGTAAAACTCGTACTCACTGTAACGAAATGTAAAACTCGTACTCACTGTAACGTAAGGTATTGTACTCATTAATTGTATAATGTTTAACCCGTTGCCAGAGTAGGGCTACCCAGCTTTCTACTCACAATAATGGTAAAGTTTTGTTTTGTTTTTTCGTATGTTCGGTACTCACGCCATACAACGCTTGATAACAACCCAACAAAAATCAAGAACGGCATATGTTCTGGTGACCTTTGCATCTTGTGTACTTCACACAAGGTGAATGGTCTAACTGACGCGTTAGTTTGCAGCAAGTCATTTCGTCACATCGTGACATGAAAATATGCTATAAGTTTTGTCTAATTTGTTATGACGAAATGACTTCATGCACAAAAAGGATTATGCAAGCTATTTCACCAATAGCTTCATTCACTTTCAAGATTGATAAGCCCAAGCAATATTTCACCAGCTCATGGCCCCTTAAGGGATGGTGTCAGATCCTATGCTGAAAGCAACAGAGGGAGAATTGCACATTTTTATCAGATTGATTGTATTAAACTGTAGCAGAGCTGGCAATCCTATCAATATAAAGAGCTTTACCTACTAGGTCACGTGAGCATTACATACTGTGTCCTGTATTCGATATAGCGTCAAAATGATATTTACGTATCAACTTATGGCTCTATTTTGTGTTACAAAAACAAGAAACATTTTTATGCCTCCGATCATTTGTGCGCTGTTCGTTTGTTGTCAACTTCAACCTTGCACATAAATATTGCACCGTAAAAGGTAGGGCGCTCATATTTGGTATGTGTCTTCGTTGTGAAATGACCTTTCCGGTGGTACCAGGTTTCCACGTGACCTTGATCGTGAACTTTGACCTTTATTTAAATAAAATCAACATTGGCCATAACTATTGCATCATATGAGGTATGGCTTTCATAGTTGGTATGTATGTTCCGTGTGACAAGACCAGTCTGATAGTACCAAAGTATTCAACCATGTGACCTTGACCGAAGACATAAGTGTTTCACACAGTGTGCATGCAATCAGCACATGCCTTACGCAGTAGTTTAAATGTCCCACTTAAGAGTTTTGTTGCAACCAAGGGCATCATCATATTTTTCCTTGTTTTATAAACACATATTATTTTAGGGAGTGCCTGTTTTATATTTAGATATACAAAGTAATGTTTATCATTACCGTACTCACATAGCTTTCATCACACTGTTGATAACGTGGCCTTTACGTCATATTCACGTAATAATTAATAAAGAACAATAATAATTAGGCCAACAGTGTCCTCAACACTGATAAATACAATCTGGTGGAAACACTGATTCACGAGTCACATGTTGGGTATTCTTGTTTCTAGAAAAATAAGATACAATGACACGATGATGTTTTCAATGTAGTATCAGACTCATTTACTTCATTTTTATTAGAGTTTGTGATAAACCAAATGAACGTGAATTTTTTTTGTCGGCAGTTGGAGCCACCGTCACTGTACTTCAGTTTTGAACAATATCAGACACCGGTACAACAAAACAAGGTAAACGTACTGCACAGATGTCTTCAGTGGTTTGTTTCCTCCAATAGCATCAACAAAGTGATCCCATATCCCAGGTCCTACAGAACTACATTATTTACATATTTAGATTTCTGTCCCAGATCCATAGATTTCTGTCCCAGGCCCTACAGAACTACGTTATTTACAGATTTAGATTTCTGTCCCAGGTCCTACAGAACTACATTATTTACATATTTAGATTTCTGTCCCAGATCCATAGATTTCTGTCCCAGGCCCTACAGAACTACGTTATTTACATATTTAGATTTCTGTCCCAGGTCCATAGATTTCTGTCCCAGGTCCTACAGAACTACGTTATTTACAGATTTAGATTTCTGTCCCAGGTCCTACAGAACTACATTATTTACAGATTTAGATTTCTGTCCCAGGTCCTACAGAACTACATTATTTACAGATTTAGATTTCTGTCCCAGATCCATAGATTTCTGTCCCAGGTCCTACAGAACTACATTATTTACAGATTTAGATTTCTGTCCCAGGTCCATAGATTTCTGTCCCAGGTCCTACAGAACTACGTTATTTACAGATTTAGATTTCTGTCCCAGGTCCTACAGAACTACATTATTTACAGATTTAGATTTCTGTCCCAGGTCCATAGATTTCTGTCCCAGGCCCTACAGAACTACGTTATTTACAGATTTAGATTTCTGTCCCAGGTCCTACAGAACTACATTATTTACAGATTTAGATTTCTGTCCCAGATCCATAGATTTCTGTCCCAGGTCCTACAGAACTACATTATTTACAGATTTAGATTTCTGTCCCAGGTCCATAGATTTCTGTCCCAGGTCCTACAGAACTACGTTATTTACAGATTTAGATTTCTGTCCCAGGTCCTACAGAACTACATTATTTACAGATTTAGATTTCTGTCCCAGGTCCATAGATTTCTGTCCCAGGCCCTACAGAACTACGTTATTTACAGATTTAGATTTCTGTCCCAGGTCCTACAGAACTACATTATTTACAGATTTAGATTGGTGTTCCAGGTCCTACAGAACTACATTATTCGGGTTGCGCAGGCTCTCACTGTGTACTTCAGCCAGGAACCTGACTATGGTGACTATGACTATATATTAGGTCTAAAGAAACGGAAAAAAAGATCAGACGAGTCTCTTGATGACATACAAGAGGACGAGGAATACGCCGATTACGATGAGGACTCGTTAGTACGTACAGGGAGACGTCTCCTACAGGATGACGGTTAGTAATTAATTGTTTGTATATTTTTATCATGACATACTTCCAAGGAACAGCAAGCACGCCCGATCTCTGATGTTCAAAATACATATGTCTTACAGGGGCAAGGAACAGCAAGCACGCCCGTTCTCTGATGTTCAAAATACATATGTCTTACAGGGGAAATGAACAGCAAGCACGCCCGTTCTCTGATGTTCAAAATACATATGTCTTACAGGGGCAAGGAACAGCAAGCACGCCCGTTCTCTGATGTTCAAAATACATATGTCTTACATGGGAAAGGAACAGCAAGCACGCCCGTTCTCTGATGTTCAAAATACATATGTCTTACAGGGGAAAGGAACAGCAAGCACGCCCGTTCTCTGATGTTCAAAATACATATGTCTTACAGGGGCATATTAGCGAAATATGGCCCAGAAGTCGTGCAACGAGAGTCATTCGCACTGGAAATGAATTCATTGATTTACTATCCTCATTTCTGGGGAAATGAATAGTTATTTTAACATAATCCATGTTATCTTTCAAATTAGCCAATTGGTGAAATTAACCGCTCACAAGTTTCGTTTTTCCGCATTCATATTTTGACCGAGTTTTTTTTTTTAGGTATACATCATAGAAAAGTAAAATTATGGATGGGTACATATTTCTGTATTTGTTTGTTAAGTGAGTCATATCGGAGACATCTGTATTCGTCTGCATGTCTATAAATTCTTAACCATCTCTGTTTTGGTAGGGACGCCAGACGACCTGTACACAAGGATAAAGACTGTGCTCACTTCAACCGTGGATATCGACAGGAAACTTTCAGATGTACGTTTATTCCGAGAAAAATGGTTTTATTTCTGTGAAATAGATTTAATTATGTTTATCAAGTGTCACATGACGCTACAATGCATTGTATGAATTTCTGTAAAGAAGGAAGCTGTATTGTGTGTCTATATCCTGCTACGAGACACGTTAAGCATTGATATTTACACCTGTAGTTTATCATTCGAATGCGACAATGGATCTTTAGTAAAATCATTTTGTCATAAGCAGAAGATATACACCTTGTCTGTCCTATGTAACACAGGTAATAAGTCAAGTGTCTGTCACCTCCCCGTCTGTCCTGCTGTCCATCGACATTCTGTCGGCTCGACTTCCAACCATAGACTGGACTCAAGCCACAGGAGTGACGTCATCAAGTCAAGTTCTTGTCAAGCATTACGGCTACTTCGAAATTATCAACGGCATTGTTCGGGACACGGACCAAAATGTCATCAAATTTTATATATGGAAGCAGGTTATTAATCATTAACTCTAGAGGAAATATATACACACGATCATATGATATAAGTTCATAATATTATATTTTGGAGCTCGTGCTATATGCCCTACACGAGATTGTTTGTGTTTATCAGAAAAAATGACGAAACCAAACCCATTATAGATTTTTAGGTCACCTGAGACGAAGTGACTTACTGCGATCACCTTTTGTACGCCGTCGTACGTCGTAAATACAGTATAGGCCCCGGGTGCTGAAATTTGGCCGATGGTATGCTAGGATGTATTGTTATCAAATTTGTTTATGTGGTTGAGCTTTTCTCTTTTTGAAGGTCACAGGGGTCAAATTCCCGATTCCCTCCCACGCATTATCAAAATTGCACGAGATCGAGATCCCCCTTTCCGCCTCCCCTACACCTTTTTTCTACGTAACATTTAAGTACGTTATGAACATTTTCTCTTTTTATTTCAAATCTAAACAGGAAATATTATTGATTTTATTGCGTCAATACCTCGATCTTCGGAGGTGCGTGAAAACTATGGGACTTCAGCTTGAAATATTTGCAGGAAATGTGACATAGATAAGTCTGTTTCATGGGGTAAATAGTTTTACAATACAAGAAAAAAAAATCACAACATTTGCAGATTGTCGATATGACAAGTTAAAGGTGACTTCCTGAATGCCAACTGAAAACAGTTCAATGATAAAAAATAACAAAACAACGTCTGGTAGTACTTGTGACATCGTGTTTGATTGTCTACAGATTTTACTGTCTGGGATCTGGAAATACCTGCCACCCACACTCCGAAGGACACTTGACGGTCTTGGAGGTCGTCGGGAGAGGGATTATACTTGGGTTGATTGTATCGGTTTCACACTGGATCTCTTGTCTCCAGAACTTCACACTGTTTATACGGATCTGTACTTCACAGAAATCAGCGAAGCTGAGATGTACCTGACAAGCTTAGTGCAGAACATCACATCCACCATGGAGCATGCTGCTACCAGTTCTAATGTTATGTCCGACGCTACGAAAATGGTGACGTCAGAAATACTCGGCAGTGTCTCCAGCAAACTCTCCAAAGTAGAAGAAGTTCGTGACGTCAATATCCTTATTTCAAACGTCCAAGTAAACTTGACATTTCTTCAGCTTGGTCATAGGTACACGGGGCGGAATTATCGGCGTCAGGTGACGGACAAGCTCTATACGCCAGTGGGACTCCTGGAACCGAACTGGTACACGGCTATACCCTACCTGGACAAGAACACACAAACTCTGGGTAAGTTGTTGGCTTCAATACATCCAGTTCAAAATAAAAGGGTCATTGACCAGACAAAACTAGTCTTACTTTTCTTGTTAGAAGTGAGCTAGAGAATGCTTCTACACAGAACATCATGGAATATTAAACAAAGTAAATTTCATAAATGTTATTAAAAAACATTAACATATTCTATTCAAACGATGGGAGAGGTAAGATGTTGTAGGTGACCATTGTTATAATAGTCTAAGTATTACTTTCCGTTACTCAGATTTGAATGTTCCTAATTTTTCTACAATGTGAATCGCTTTCAACACAGTATGTTTACAAAACTGTATCTCACAAATGATTTATCAATTTCAGTCCTGCCAACAGCCGTCACAGCACAAGAACTCCAGCTTAAGCCACAGTTCTTCGTCTACAGTAACTTTGGGCGACAGATTGCGTCCGAACTGTTGACACCCGTCTACGGTACTTATATATGTAACATTCAGAACCGGTCCACGGTAACTCAAAATACGGTATTGATACGGAACAGTAACTCCAAAATACGGTATTGATACGGAACAGTAACTCCAAAATATGGTATTGATACGGAACAGTAACTCCAACATACGGTATTGATACGGAACAGTAACTCCAAAATAAAGCAAAAAACGCTTACCCTTACGGAACACCTAGTTCCAGGATCATGAAAAGATCTTAAGTCTAAAACAGTCTTAGCCAATTACGGATAACGTCATGAAAAATGACGTCACATGTGACTAGTCCATCAAAGACCTAGGTCGAGGATTGTATCATAATCCCCGGGTCAGGTCTTATGTTTTGCAAATTTATTTATGAATATTTTATTTTATATACTTATAAAATTTATTGTTCTTTTTATTTATAAAAGATGTAAATCTTTATTAATCCACATGTAATCCTCATTTCAACGATTTTGAGTTTGAGTAATGTTTTATTGACTTGTTGGTTGCTGTTTTAGATGATATGGCTGACCTAAACCAGACCTTGACATGGTGGGATGATGTCTCCTTGTCTTCTTTTGAGGACGTTCTGAAATGTTACTCCAGTGGTGTCACTGACATAGGTTCTGTAAGTTCACCCTGACACTCTGTATCCGCTTTGTATAACTGTAGTAACCTATTGACCGCTGTGTAACTGTAGTAACCTATTGACCTTTGTATAACTGTAGTAACCTATTGACCGCTGTGTAACTGTAGTAACCTATTGACCTCTGTATAACTGTAGTAACCTATTGACTAATGTTTAAGTGTGGTCACTTGTTAACCTCTGTGTAATTGTGGTAACATATTGACCACCGTGTAACTATGGTTATCTATTGACCTCTGTGTAATTGTGATAGCTTAATGAACTGTTCATTTGTAGGTCATTTGTAGTCTTCTCGGACTCTACAGTGATGCTACGAGTCTTGATTTTTAAGTCTAGCAGACGACTGAGGAAAATCCACTGTGATCGGATCTACTTAAAAAACATGATTTTAAATATTACATTTTCCTCGTGTTTTATTTCCAGTTATAATTTACGTTTAGAAACCTTTATGTTACAGATTACTGCAGACTCGATCACAAGTCGGATTGCCAAGATCCATTCAGCATTTAACATAACGTTGAAGGTTGGTACCAACCTGACATGTAATTCGTTTTTTTTTTTTGTGTTTATTTATTGAAGTCTCTTAAGATTTCTGTTAACTTACAACAAATTAACTTTTTCAAGGTACTTGCAGTCTAGACAGACGGCTTTGGTATAGTTTGAAACTGTTGCATACCGTTTTGTATTACAAACATTTTAACCCCAACCCCCCCCCCCCCCCCCAACCCCCCCGCCCCGCCCCACCCCCGCTCCCGCCCCACCCCCGCACCGCCTAGCCGATCTGATTACGATACATAAGTTTTTACGTCTTTCCTTGAATTTACCTGTCGTTTGTTTATATTGATTCTCAGAAACTATTGCAAGTTTGATTGAAAATTGACAATTCTCAATATTGTATTTTGGCAAAAGGAATATTCCAAGCAAAGTTTCCCGGACAGCTACCGAGTTCCGATGCTGGACTATACCTCCAAACAGCTGCAGTTTATATCGTTTGCCCAGGTAGGTGTAACTTGTGTCAGTCTATTAACAATCTTTGTCATTTTTAAACTTGACTTAAACTACTGGACCTGGCCTGGTTGTTCAAAAGCTAGTAGGTTGATAAAAAAATTAAACCCGAATTAAACGGAATTGGAAACATGATTTATCAGCTGTGGGTTTGTTGATACAGATCAGACTGGTATATTTTAATACTGATTTTGCATTTAACAGTCTTGTTTGATCAGTAGCAGCACTTTTAATTCTCTGCTATCCACTGGTTTAGTCTAAACTTTTAAGCAACCGAGGCAAGGTCTTCCAATATCTTCTTTTGTTTTTTCGAAAATATTATGTATACGGTGTAATAAGGTCACCCTGGCGTTCTTTCGAAGTGAAGATTTGACACTATCATCATTGTACAGTTAAACCTCGTTATCCTGAATCCGTATAACTCGAAGACCCCCTTTAGTTCGAAGTTCCCGACCAGACGTCACAACATACATTCGAAAATGCTTAACTCGAATACTTGGCTAACCTCAGCAATACTCACAGGCGGGGAATCTAGAATAAGATTGGCAGCGTTAACACTTTGACAATATGGAAATATCTTCTGTGGATTGGATATATCTGGATCAGAAACTAAGGCTGTAGGCAGTGTGTGCTTGATAGTTCAAAATAGTACATGTACGTCATTATGGCAAAAGATAACTATCTGTGGCTCTGCGAGTTCGACATTGATGTCTATTTATAGACCTGGACTCTGAGATGACTTTTGAGTCCGCGACTGTCAAGGAGTCCACATCCGCCTGTACTATTCTATGCTGGTGGCAGTCCTCTGTGATACTGGCACCTGACCTCAACTGTCGCTGTTACTTTGCGCGTCAGAGCGCCAGTCTTATCCAGAGTGAGTTCCTCAACTGTTTGGAGGCTATTTCGATGTTGTCTTTGAAATGTTTCTTTGGCCTGTCTTGCTTTCTCTGCTGCTGCTATGTTCGTGTAAGTAAGTGTTTTAGGGTCCTCCATCCATCTGGCTGAGCGTTCAGTAGACGCCCCAACACCTAAAGGTTTGTGATCCTGTTGCGCTATTTAATGCCAGGTTTGAGTGCGAACTTCGTATGTGAAACGTTCCAGTCGTTCCAGTGGTCTGATGTGCCGTCTGTTCAAGTTTCAGACCGTATATCCACTAACAAAGACCACTGACTTGTTGAATTTGAGCTGCTTGAGTTGGGCTGCTACTTGCTTATTCAACACTGGTTTGTTTTACCAACCCCGGCTTTGATCTCGTGATCGAGGTCACCGTAATTGCCGATACAACTCAGTTCAATTGGTTGAGACGGATAGAGATGGCAGCCTGTTATGATAGGACCGGGTTTGAACATGCCAGCTGTTTACCTGAGGCTAATGGTAAAGCAGAACAGGCCCAATGATACAGCGAACCTGTTCACAATAATGTGGAGAATACGTTCCGTGTGTGTCATAAGAGCTCTAGTATAATTTATAAGTTATTGTTGGGATGCTACGACGACGCAAGATTGACCCGTCCATTCTTAACATAACGTTGACACCTTCCTTTACGTCCCTGAAAAAAGATTAACCAGTACTAGGCCTAAAACACACCATTTCTTCACACTGCTGAGAATCCCAAAGGACTCAGATGCCTCTCCTCTATCAAGTGCATAGTCAAACAGACGAATCAGGGTCGCGAGCGTTCTGTGGGGGCTTTCTGTGTGAATGTTTACGATGGCTACCTTCTAACTATACCAAATACCGGGTACTTACGTACTGGTAATGAACATTGCCAACAGACAGCAACATTTTAATTAAATGTTCTTCGGCCTGTACAGAATCTACGTTTGGTGTAGGTGTAAAGGAAAATATCAGGTGTCATTTAGATCTTACATAATAAGTGCCAGTAAAACGTTCAGTAGTACCTGTTTGTAATTGTAATACATATCAGTAAAACATCACATGTAATATACACGATAAACAGTGTCTGTATAACATTGTATAGTATTCGTGACGTGAGTTATTAAATAACTGCTGTTTGTGAGACGTACGTCGGGGACAAATTTCCTTAAATGAGCAATTGTTTCTTTAAATAGAATTCTGCGAAATCCAATTTATAGTAAGTTTTAGTGGTTGTTGGCCAACTGTATTGTGACGTGACGATGACCGACGGTACGTGACTTGACGATGACAGACTGTACGTGACGTGATGATGACCGACAGTACGTGACGTGACGATGACCGACAGTACGTGACTTGATGATGACCTACAGTACGTGATTTGATGATGGCTGATTGTACGTGACTTGATGATGACCGACAGTACGTGACTTGATGATGGCTGATTGTACGTGACTTGACGATGGCTGATTGTACGTGACTTGACGACGGCTGATTGTACGTGACTTGACGATGGCTGATTGTACGTGACTTAATGATGACCGACAGTACGTGACTTGATGATGACCGACAGTACGTGACTTGATGATGGCTGATTGTACGTGACTTGACGATGGCTGATTGTACGTGACTTAATGATGACCGACAGTACGTGACTTGATGATGACCGACAGTACGTGACTTGATGATGGCCGACAGTACGTGACTTGATGATGGCTGATTGTACGTGACTTAATGATGACCGACAGTACGTGACTTGATGATGGTTGATTGTACGTGACTTGACGATGGCTGATTGTACGTGACTTGACGATGGTTGATTGTACGTGACTTAATGATGACCGACAGTACGTGACTTGATGATGGCTGATTGTACGTGACTTGATGATGGCTGATTGTACGTGACTTGACGATGGCTGATTGTACGTGACTTAATGATGACCGACAGTACGTGACTTGATGATGGCTGATTGTACGTGACTTGATGATGGTTGATTGTACGTGACTTGACGATAGCTGATTGTACGTGACTTGACGATGGCTGATTGTACGTGACTTGACGATGACTGACAGTACGTCACGTGACGATGACCGACAGTACGTGACGTGATGATGACCGACTGTACGTGATGTGACGATGACCAACATTACACTGTAGTGAGTGTGTTCAATTCATGACCCTTATGAAACAGAAACAATAACTATCTGACATCCCTTACTGATGACAAAAATTGAACTAAACATCCTTCTTACAGTTTACACGTGTTAAAATACTTACTCTTCCTTATGATATATTCAGTGATCCTTCTGATATTTATCTTTATCTAATTAGCAATACGTTCCTTTTATTCAATGCTTCAATATGTTTTTTCTCGACTCAGCTGCTCCATTACTTTTTTTCTTCATTTAGCTGTGTGTTTACCTCATTTAAGTAGTTCAATTCAGTATGTTCTTTTCTTCATCTTACCATTTCAATACGTTCTTATCTCCATCTTACCATTTTAATACGTTCTTTTCTCCATCTTACCATTTTGATACGTTCTTTTCTCCATCTTACCATTTTAATACGTTCTTTTCTCCATCTTACCATTTTAATACGTTCTTTTCTCCATCTTACCATTTTAATACGTTCTTTTCTCCATCTTACCATTTCGATACGTTCTTTTCTCCATCTTACCATTTCGATACGTTCTTTTCTCCATCTTACCATTTTAATACGTTCTTTTCTCCATCTTACCATTTTAATACGTTCTTTTCTCCATCTTACCATTTTAATACGTTCTTTTCTCCATCTTACCATTTTAATACGTTCTTTTCTCCATCTGACCATTTTAATACGTTCTTTTCTCCATCTTACCCTTTTAATACGTTCTTTTCTCCATCTGACCATTTTAATACGTTCTTTTCTCCATCTTACCATTTTAATCTTACCATTTTAATTTTTTCCATCTTACCATTTTAATACGTTCTTTTCTCCATCTTACCATTTTAATACGTTCTTTTCTCCATCTTACCATTTTAATACGTTCTTTTCTCCATCTTACCATTTTAATACGTTCTTTTCTCCATCTTACCATTTTAATACGTTGTTTTCTCCATCTTACCATTTTAATACGTTCTTTTCTCCATCTTACCATTTTAATACGTTCTTTTCTCCATCTTACCATTTTAATACGTTCTTTTCTCCATCTTACCATTTTAATACGTTCTTTTCTCCATCTTACCATTTTAATACGTTCTTTTCTCCATCTTACCATTTTAATACGTTCTTTTCTCCATCTTACCATTTTGATACGTTCTTTTCTCCATCTTACCATTTTAATACGTTCTTTTCTCCATCTTACCACTTTAATACGTTCTTTTCTCCATCTTACCATTTCAATACGTTCTTTTCTCCATCTTACCATTTTAATACGTTCTTTTCTCCATCTTACCATTTTAATACGTTCTTTTCTCCATCTTACCATTTCGATACGTTCTTTTCTCCATCTTACCATTTCAATACGTTCTTTTCTCCATCTTACCATTTCAATACGTTCTTTTCTCCATCTTACCATTTCGATACGTTCTTTTCTCCATCTTACCATTTCAATACGTTCTTTTCTCCATCTTACCATTTCAATACGTTCTTTTCTCCATCTTACCATTTCAATACGTTCTTTTCTCCATCTTACCATTTTAATACGTTCTTTTCTCCATCTTACCATTTTAATACGTTCTTTTCTCCATCTTACCATTTTAATACGTTCTTTTCTCCATCTTACCACTTTAATACGTTCTTTTCTCCATCTTACCATTTCAATACGTTCTTTTCTCCATCTTACCATTTCAATACGTTCTTTTCTCCATCTTACCATTTTAATACGTTCTTTTCTCCATCTTACCATTTTAATACGTTCTTTTCTCCATCTTACCATTTTAATACGTTCTTTTCTCCATCTTACCATTTCAATACGTTCTTTTCTCCATCTTACCATTTCAATACGTTCTTTTCTCCATCTTACCATTTTAATACGTTCTTTTCTCCATCTTACCATTTTAATACGTTCTTTTCTCCATCTTACCACTTTAATACGTTCTTTTCTCCATCTTACCACTTTAATACGTTCTTTTCTCCA